AGTCCGTTTAAATGTAATTACACGAACAATAATACTTTAAGAGGTATTTTTAAAATTTTTTTGCCATAAAACATGGTCATGTTTTACCATTTTGGGGGGGGAGGGCTTCAGCCCGAAAGCCCCCCGTAGATCCGCCCGTGGTTAAGCTGTCAATAACTACAGTTAACGAACGCTGATTTTTACCAAATTTGTAAAAAAAAACTGAGACAAATTACTATAAATGGCTCTACTGCCTAGAAATGAGTGATCTAAGAGAAAAACTCATAGAATAAAATTATAGAGCATCTAATTCCGCATTAGTGTATGCCACTTACTTGCTCCTAATAATGACCGGTAATTGATGATGGAGGTGTGTGTGATTTTAAATATTTCATCGGTATGGGTGTCTATTCTAATCAGTTATTTTTGTTTAAAGTTGATAAATACAGTATAGATCTCTGAGTTTCACACGGATTACGCCTGGTTCACAATCACTTCGATCACACTTGTTCGTGGAATCTCGAAAACAGCCGAATGATGCCGGCTTTTATGACGTTAGCTATTACCCCCACCACAAATCCCTTTCTATGCATTTTTGAAAAAAAAAAAAAAACCGTATTCCCTTCATAGAACCTACTTATTAACAATTTATTACCGAATTATGTATTTACTAATTTGTTAATTATTAATTTATATTATAAAGGTTATAACTCTGAAAGAAAAAAGAACAAAAAATATATAAAATAATGTTTGAGTCGTCCTTCAAGGCCTGTTAAAAACAAAATGGTTTTAGAAATAAAAATTTTATTGACAATTTTTATCATTTGGATAATAAATAATCTGAAGTTATCTATTATCTTTTTATTTGTTATTCGAGTTCTTCAATAGAAGTTAGAATAACTGAATTTATAATTTATTTTAGCAAGCCTTTTTTAGAATTGCGCAATCGTCTATTATTTTTATAATTATTCCTTATTACTTTCACTTACGTATATATGTAATATATAGTAAGGGTAAGTATTGCGATCGTGAAAATTTTGGAATCTCAGTTTTCAACAGAAATACATGTTTTAAGGTCCCCTGAGTCCAAATAAGCAAGTGTCGCAAAATGGTCTTTGTGTGTGTTAGTGTTAACAGTCTAGCACATAAACGAAAAGTAGTACGAAACTGATATTAAGTATTTAAGGTTTGTATATGGGCCGGATGTGACAGCAACTTTTTCGTTAAAATTGGCTAACCGGAAGTGCCACTTTATATGAATGCTGAAACATATTTTTACAATTTTCTCAAAAACGACTTTAACGATTTTTATCAAACTCGGTGTATCATTGTATAATTAAGTGGTTTTTAATATCATTTAGGTCTTATCCCCGTTGATGTCACTTTACAGGGCTTTAATGCCCAATATTCACATATGTCTTCCTCTAAAGTACCTTTAATATGGTTTATTTTAAAAAGTTAACCAATTCGCATTATTCAGAGTTACGAAAAAATGCTACATATAACTTTTGAAAGAATTCGATAAATTAATAAAGGAGAAAAAAATAAAAATGCAGAAAAACCTGCGTTCCTACAGACTGTAGCGCCTAAAGGAATGTGCCGATTTCAATGAAACTTCGCTAAAGTCATTTTCTCGAGGCCCTTTAAATTTATCTATATAACATACTTCAACGAAAAGAAGCTGGAAAACAAGTTACGAGGGATTTTAAAATTAAATTCCGAATAACTCAAAAAGTATACGCTTATTTGTCGATATTGTGATAAAATGTTTCGAAGATATTTAAATTGCCTAAAAAATGAAAGAAGTTTCATCGAAATCAAAGCACTATTAGTAGAGATATCAAGATTTTAAAGAATTTTTTTTTATTTCATTTGAGACCGACAACAGATGGAAAATATCAAAAAACAAGAAACAAAAATACTAGCTTAGTGAAGTAAGCATTTATATATTTGTTTGTTCCTTAGTTTCTAAAAGGTCTAAATCCACTTTTAAAACTTATCTCAAATGTTTCTGACTTCTGATTTTAAATCCAAAACAGTGTATACTTTTTGAGTTATTTGGAATTTAATTTTACCATCCCTCGTAAATTTTTTCCAGCTTCTTTTCGTTGAAGTAATGTTATATAAATAAATTTAAAGTGCATTGATAAAAAGACTTTAGCGAAATTCGTTTAGGCACTACAGGTTATAAAAACGTAGATTTTTCGCCCTCCATCTTGAGAGGAATAGGCGGATAGACAATTTCGGTGAAGCAGGATCATCTTCGGGTGACATCTGATTTTAAATCCAAATTCGAAAAAAATCGGTCCAGTAGTTCCGGAGGAAATACACGGAAGGCGGACGGGCGAAAAAAAATGTTATTCGAATTTTATTCATTTTATTCGAACTCTACGTATCCTGAAAAGTAAAACCTCAAATTTTGAGAGGAGATTAAGTTTTGGAATTTTTTGTTCGATTACAATGGTTCATGATTGAAAATAATAAACCAAAAACATATAAGAATAAATAATTTTAGCCTATTAAGAAAGCAACTGAATTAAAGTCCTTTTAAATGAAATAAAATTCAATTATCACTTAATATAAAGCAGCATAAGAAATAGGTTTCTAATTTATGATAATGGATATTAGTAGAAAAACAGAAAGTATGATTATAAAGGTGCATTTAGACATTTCACTAACTTTTAATCCCACCTTACACGGTCAAATATTATTGAGTCAATAACGAATATATTGACCGTCTGAGGGATATATTGTAACAATTATATTGACATTTGTACTATGTATATACTGTTCAAGAATATTGCTTCAATATTATTGATTCAGTAATTTTGAATCAATATTCTTGAACGTTGTGTTCGATATTATTGATTCAATAATATTGACAGTGTATGGTGGGCTTAAGGGAAACGAAATTATCTAACTTAACAGCGTCAATAGCGCTAAGCCAAACTTTTTTGTTTATTTCTCTTGTCATCCACATCAGATAGAAAACATCAAAAACAACCATTTAAAAATTTGTTTTTCTCTTAGTGTGTGTAATGTCTAAAAGTAATTATTATTAACTATAATAAGCTTGTGATGTTTATTGTTTTCTTTGAAAATGGTCTAAAGAGTTGAAATGTCGGTGGTGGAAAAAAATAAATAATCAACCATATTAAAATTTATATTGATAAAATAATAATAATAAAATATCTCCATTAAAGCAAATCTTAAATGTGGAAATCATTATTTTGATATATTAATAAAAAACGCATTTGTATTATTTTCTTCTGAAAAAAGCTTTTATTTTATTATATTAATCACTCTTTTATTTTTCTGTAAAGAGTAATAAAAAATTCATTTGTATTATTTTCTTCTGAAAAACTTTTATTTTATTATATTAATCACTTTTTTATTTTTCTGTAAATGGTAATAAAAAATGCATTTGTATTACTTTCTTCTGAAAAACTTTTATTTTATTATATTAATCACTTTTTTATTTTTCTGTAAATAGTAACAAAAAATGCATTTGTATTATTTTCTTCTGAAAAACTTTTATTTTATTATATTAATCACTGTTTTATTTTTCATATAAAACGTTTTAATTTTTTTTATACATTTTTATTTACTGAAATGATTGCTATGTTCTCAAAACAATTATTTCTTCAAAATTACAGAACTGAATAGGTAGAAGAAATTGTTTTTTAAATAGTTTTTTTCTTTTTTGTAAAACAGTATTATCAGATCCTAAAGGTGCGTTTAGACACTTCACAAACTATGAAAAAAAAAAACAATTATCTAATTTATTTAACAACGATGTTATTGCTAAAACAAATGGAAAATATCAAAAACGAGAAACAAAAATTTTAACAGTGAAATAACCATTTATATATTAGTTTGTCCCATAGTGAAATGTGAATGAAAAAACACACCTTAAAATATTTAAATTCTATTTAAATATTTTACATGATTTGATTTTTATTTGTTTTAGAAATTTTTTTTTTTTAAGTCAAATCAAATTTATATGAATTCTTCATTGAAATTAAAAATTAGATGGAACAGGTGCATTTATTTTAATCTAGCTTTTGAAAAATAATATTTAAGATCATATAATAATATACTTGTAATATATTTATTATGCATCTGTTTAGATAAATAAATAATCTTATTTTTAAGATGAAATTCTGTATTTTGTTAATTATTTTTTAGTTTTAGTTTTATAACTGTCTGTTGTGTAATGAATGCATTTATTAAAAAATATAAATTACTCATATTTCCGAAGAAATACTTCAGAAGAATTGATCCATTGTAAAATATAATTGAGATAAAGGTCGAATGGAATGAAGTAGACAAGTGGAGACATTGTGAATAATCTCAAACAATTACTGCGTGAATTACATGCGTGATATGACGTATCAAAGTTCTATTAAATATGATTTGTCTGGGATAATGCTTATGTAAAAAGTATCGCCATATTATAAGAATTCGTTTTTTAGACTAGTTTAATTAGTAAAATCATTTCATTGTTGTTTTTTCAAGTTTTAAATCCAAGAATGACATTAAACTATTGATAATTTGAATCGAGCGCCAGGTAGAAATTCTAGAATAGTTGAATCTCTTCCCGTAAGCCACGTAACCTCACACTCTTGACAGCTTCCGCCAGACTGTTTTTTATTTAGGCTAGTGTGCCTTCGCAGTCTTGTTATATTGATAAAAACTATCGTTACGCTTATTTAAAATTAAAGATACAACAATCTCGTAAGTATTAATAAATCGGGCGAAGGTAAAAATGTTACCGTTTCGCTGTTTGGTTTCATGTGTGCTATAACCAAAGATTTATCCTGTAATAAAACGGTACAATTTCATGCGTCTCGAAGCATTTAAAAAGCTGTACGTTATTGTAGTTTTAATTTAAAGGACATTTGAGTTTTAAATGGTACTATTAATGCTTACATCCAGCGCATCATAGTAGTAACTGTGAAAAGGGGAGTGACATATAAGTGTAACCGTCCATATATCAGACTTCCATTTATAATTTAATTAATCAATTGAAATTTAAAAAGCTGATTCATGTTTTCAAATTAACTAAGAAGCCCTCAACTACTTTTTGTAATGTAAGTACCATGGTAGGTTAGAAAACATTATTGCATTCTGTTCTCTTTCTATTCCATTTTAAACATAATTAATGAGAATGAGAAAGCATTTCTAAGAAGATGAAGTTGTAATTTTCGTTATCAGAGATTTAAAAAGCTTAAAATATGCAATATCTATTGTAATATTTGATGTATCATGTTTATGCTAATGTTTCTTGTATATTACAATATTTCTATGCCAATTTCTTAATCTTCAGCTTAAATAACACATATTTGTTTTATGTTTGTAGTTTGAATAATGAACGGCCAATCTTGCACATATTCTGACTCTGGAAATGGTACGCCAACGCCTTCATCCACAAGCTATCCAGGTAAAAGTTTTTAAACAAACCTTAAGTGTGATTTACATCGAATGTGTTATTAATAGTTGTTTTTTTTTCATTTTTGCAGCTAGTTTGTCATCACAATCTTCCCGTGATACATCCCCCTCCCGTCTTCAACCTAATCTTAATCACATAAATTCTGAAAAATCACTTAATTCATCTGGTAACTATATGAATTATAAATCACACGACACGTATACAAATGCAAATTCTGTTTATGGGCAAATATATCCAGACTCTAGTGCACCGACTAATAGGGCTACAGTTCCCCCTTATATAAGTGATACTAGTAACGATATTAATCAGTCACAGAGACTTGGGCAACCGCAGCTCCGACCTTTTACAACTTCATCTCAAATAATTTCTAGTTTAGGTTCTACGGTATCTAAACCTGTCTATAGTTCATCACATTTAAATCAGATAACAAATGATCAGAAACAGTTTGGTAATCAATATAGCACACAAAAGTTAGATAGTGTAATGCAGCCAAAAGCATCAGAAAGTAACTTAGTAAAAAATCATGAAACTATGCCTACATCTAATTTAGCGATATCTGATTATTATCAGGGGTATACTCAAACGATGAATAATCCCTACAGGCAAGAAAATGTATTGCCAAACCAGACTATGAAGCCTGAACAACAGTATCATGCTCAAACTCAAGGGTACCAAGTTCAGAAACCCTTGATCTCGCCGACCTCAAATCCGTACATGAATTCAGTGCCTCAGGATAGCCAAAGTTATCCCCAATCGCCAGCCGAAGCACCCAGGTCTACCTACCAGCAGGGTTATTATCAACCTCCGACCTCTTCAGTGATGAGTGGAAGACCGCAGATGAACCTACCTATGACTCAATCCAGATCGCTGGATGAACCTATTTCTTCAGGGCCTCCGAGGACTAATGTCTTAGGAATTATTCCTTATGCCACAGTATGTAATAATTATTATTTATTTTTATAATTCTACTTTTATGATAACAATTTATGACCCACCACACATAAGAAAGGTTATTAATTAATCTGAATTGAATTTCTCTAAGTCTGAATCTTTTTTTAATCTCAGAATTGTTTTTTATTATTAAATTGGTTGTTTATTTCCAACGTGAACCCTAATTGATTTTTTTTTGGAAAATGAAATTAGTTCTAAAACAACCCTAAATTTTTAAAAATGTGATTTGAAAATACGTTTAAATTAAAACAAGTTAAATATTATAATGAAACTTGCATTTTTTAACTAATCTTAAAAGAATAGTTCATCAAAAGCTGATTTAACCATTTTATTCAAATGAAAATTTAAAATGAATGAATTTTATTGTAAACAAAAAGTTAATTTTTCATAACTTTTTTTCTTCACGAATCATAAACAATGCTTTCTCTATAAACCGAACCCCCATTTTCCTCTTTTTGTTCTAATTGGTTTTAATTTTAATTCTTTCTAAAAGTGGCTCTATTCTGTTTTCAATGTTTTTCTAATTAATATTGAAATAATCAGTGATTTTCAAAATATGTGCTTAAAATGAAGATATTTCAATTTTTTTTAAAATATTGTTGGTTTCGATATTACAATTGGAATGAAAGATATAGTTTTCTGTGATTCTTGAAAATTATTTATGATGATTACTATTAATAAACAACTCAAATAATACAAATATACTTTTTATCAATTCTGTAATTATTTATACAGAGTTTTTTTTTTTCGAGTGAGTTTTTAACCAAATATAGCTAAATTAAACAATTTAAAGTTTTAGGTAGATTCTAGACATCAACGTCCACCTGATGTGCTGATATTTTAGCATGAGGTTGGATATTAATTAAAAATGTCACCTTAATATTCATATCGATTAATGATTTTACATTAACATGGTTTAGACCAGGCCTGGCCAACCTCGGACTGCATGTTATATCACGTAGCCGGCCAATGGCAATTTTATATATTTATTTAACTTTTGCATCTCATTATAAGTTTAAAAATGATATTAAAAGATAATGATAGTGATAAAAATGATATGATAATGATAAAAATTATATTATTATTAGTTATATAATTCTTTTCTTTGCCTGTGCATTTAATGAATTTTTATTAAATAAATATAATAAAATAATATATATTAAGAATCTGACTGTTAGAATTATATTCAATTAGAGTACCCATGCAAGAACTTTCACGTTAGATATCTATCCTTCTCACTGATATATTTGAGGTATAAACAATATTAGAAAAATATTTTTATTCTCATATAAGAATGTATTATTAACAAACAAAAAAGTCTATTTAGCACCTAAGTGAAGCTCTATGATTCATGCAATAGTCATGTTGTTCACTTAATATGTAATAAGCTAGGAATAGGAAAATATCTCTTTATTTAAGCAATAAGACTCAGTTATTCATAAAATAATGCTATGCCAGTATTGTACTGGTTACGAGCTTTTGAGTTGTTTCAAAAGAGCAGAATCCTTCATTTGTTGATCTCATACTTATTAAGAGTGGAATATAAAAGTCAGTTCTCGACAAGAACTTCATCACCACTATGGTGACATTAAATACCATGAAATTTAAAACACCTCCACAAAATTTATTTATTTTTATTTAAAATCGCAATAAGTTTTTTTCTATATTATCTGAGGTGCCTATAAGATCTCAGGGCTTTTCATCTTTGTTTATTTCGTCAATTTATTTTTAACTTATCATCATAGGCCACATTATATAACAATATTTTGAATTTTAAAAACCTAAACGACGTTTGATAAGTGTGCCATAGTAACCATGGCTTCCGGCAAGAATTGATTGATTTTATCATCTTTTGAAAAATAAAAGGTAAAATAAATTTTTATTCAACAGGACATTTTTTTTTTCACTTTTTGTTTATAGTTTTAAATTAATACTATTTTAAAAATATTTATTGCTTTGTTTACCCTGCCAATAGTTTAATCTTTGACGAGTTAATCACTTTCCATATTCTGAATAAGTTAGTCATCATCCATCAGATTTGTTTCAGGTGTCAAATGGTGTAAAATTACAATCTTACCAAGAATTTCAATTAATCAAACGTATATTTTTTAATTAATTATCTCCTAGTGGAATAAAAATAACAGAGCCTGTTGTGCTAAATTTGTAATTAACAGATTTAACTTCATGTGTCTTTGCTTATCAGTACCGAAATTGATACTTTATTCTCGTATTGATAATGTTATCTTGTATTATTTTTGAAATACAAAATTTTCTTTCTGCATTCACGTATTTGATCTCTAATTTATTTGTAATTCTTAGGAACCTGCTACATCACAAGTCGCGAGGCCTAAACTACCTGATGGAGGAGGGTATTACCAACCTATGCAACCGCAGCAACAGCCACAACAAATTCAGCAGCAGCAACCGCCGCGAGTGGCACCCAGACCCCCAGCGCCAATTAAGCCTAGAGGCTACCCTCCGCCACCGTATCAACAGTATCCATCGTATTCCCAGCCTCAGGTAAATTGATGACGAATTTATTAATAATTCAGTGGTGAATAATATAGTAACAATGTATTCATTATAGGGACAGAAAGTACATTAGATTCCTGCTTAACCACCTTCCATTAAACTGGCTTTCTTGATTAATTGTCTGTTAAAAGAAGAAAAAATCTTTTAATTTTTCCCCGAAGTCGGCTAGTATCAGCATTTATGCTATCATCAAAACCAAAACATTCAATTTATAATGAATAGCCTTATTTAAGTAATACATTTTTGTGGAATCTTTTTATTATTATATTTAATCAATATATGATTAAATTTTTTACGAAAACCTCCGTTCATTCCAGTTTTAATTTTACAATTAAAAAATCTTTTTACAAGAATTTTTATTTTCTCCTTATTGTAATATTTCAGCCCTATAAGTCATTTTTAAACATTCCATAAACAGCAATAGTCATTATTCCATCCATTTAAAATTATTTTTATAATCCACTACTCTATGACAGCAACTGTTTAAAATTTAAAAAATAAAACATTGTTGTTTTTAATTCTTTTCTCATTCACAAATACTTAAGTCTTTTTTCTTTCTCATTCGACAAAATAACTTTTCCTTATTTCAACTAATTTTCTTTCTCGGTTTCATTTTTCTTCACACAATAGCTGGCTCTTATTCCCAACCTAGAACTCACAGGCACCTCTGTGCCTGCGTGACCTCACTCGTTCCCACGGCAAATTTGTACCTAACTATCTCTAAAATAATCGGCCATCGCTTTGGCTACAGTTTTACGGTTACCTACCGTAGATCGAAAAGTTTTCTATTAAATGTTGAATAGTTATTTTAATAAATATCTATTAATTAATTTTAAATATGAACTTTGAAAATTGTGATTTATTTTGTATTTTTTTAAATCATCATACTTGTTTTACGTGACATGCTGCAGATAGACTATTTTTCAATATGAATATTTAAAAATCTAATTAGAGTTCATATATATAAAATTCAGAAATATCTAGTTGGTCCATGCGAAAAACTAGCATAGTATATTGTTCAGTGATCAAAAGTCAAATTAATAATAAAATCAAATAATGCAATCAATAATCTGGTTTGATCCATCTGGCTGCTAGTCGAGACTGTATGGTGGGAAAATACTTCTTTAGGGTAGCCCTCTTAGTGGTATTGATCCACCGTCTGTTCCACTCTTCGACGGTAGCTTGTCTCAATATTGATTTCCATCAATTGGGCCATTCCTTAATCCTCACTCGAAGATCCACAGGAATCCCTGCCAAGCCTTCTCTATTATAAGCATATTTGATCAAGTATTCTTGCAGGAGGAGATCGAGAGGTATCCCCCTTGCTAAGATCTGCACTGCCTCGTAAGACACTGTCTTATATGCTCTGGTGATCCTCAGCAGAGCCTTCCTCTGGATAGATGCTAACTTGTTCTTCTTTCGCTTGGGGAGATTCAGGTACCATGAGGAGGATGCATACCTTAATATTCCCAGCACCACTTCTTTATAGATAGTCTTGTTCACTGAATATCTAAGGCCCCAGAAAGCTCCATCAACACGACAGACCATTTAGGGCCACTGTAACTCTATTCGACAATTAGTCCAAATGAGGCGTTATTTTAAACTTTCTTCCAAATCTTACTTTGAGGTAGGTTACCACCTCACTTAGACTAATCGTTTCTCCTTGTATCTCCAAGGCGATTGGATGTTCCCTCTCATCGTGCCCCTTAGAAGGATTACTTGGGTTTTGGCAGCAGTCATCCTTCATTCTTCTACTCGCACACCATGAACCTATCAAGTTAGCTCATCTTTCTGCCTCCAGTATGACCCCTGCTCTGCTATGGGATGCCACCACAGTGGCCAAATCATCAACATACGCCGTTAATATAATGAGACCACATTGCAGACTTTATTCATTTGAATCTATTTTGCGTTCTTTTTTTTTTTAATCTGTTTATTTAATCTAGTCTCTTTTTTTTCCAGAATAATGCTGGGTTACCACCTTACAGTCAAACGATGAGCGGTGGCTACGCTGGTTACCCGAGCGGGGATGAACTTGCTAATCAGATGTCGCACCTTAGTGTTTCTCAACTTGGTTTTAATAAATTATGGGTATGGTTATTTTTAATTATTAGCATATTTTTTTTTTGTTGGAGTACATGTATGTTTTAATATAAATACTAGCTGTATCCGGGCCACGTAACGCATTGCTGTAGTTCTGGTCTGGTAAAATAGAAAAAAGAAAGAAAAGAGATAGCACACGTTTTTAATTTGTTTAATTTCACAGTAATTTGATGATGTTGAATAAGAAAGTAAATGTTCATATGTTCAATGTGCGAAACAACTGTCTGTTCAACTGTTCTGAGTTTAAAAAATGTTATTTAGTTTAGTCTATTTATTTTAGTTAGAAATTAGATCCAATAAGATTAGTTTAGTTAGTATTTTTTTTTTACCTTCATTTACCTATATATGTAATATGTAGTAAGGGAATGTATTGCGATTGTGAAAATTGTTGAATCTGAGTTTTCAACGGAAATACACATTTTGAGGTCTCCTGTCTAAATAACCTAGTACCACAAAATGTTCTGTGTGTTTGTGTGTGTGTGTGATGTATGTGATCAGTCTAGCTCAAAAACAAAAAGTAATACGAAACTGATATTACATATTTAAGATATATATATATATATATTTATGCATGTGACAGCAAATTTTTCATTAAAATCGACTGACCGGAAGTGGCACTTTACTTCTAAGGTTACACACATTTTTATAATTTTCTAAAAAATGGCTCCAATGATTTTGAATAAACTCGGTGTATCATTGTATAATTAAGTGGTTTTTAATATCATTTAGGTCTTATCCCCATTGATGTCACTTTAAATGGCTTAAATAAATGCTTAAATGTTCAACATGTCTTCTTCTAAAGTACCTTTAATTTAGTTTATTTGAAATAATTAACTATCTCAATATTAACAGTTACGAAAGAATGCTAAATATAACTTTTCAAAGAATTCGATAATAGAAAAATAGAGAAAACGGGAAAATGTTTATTTAGGTCGAAAATGAATTTCAGGAAATACTAATCAGAAAGTATACGTATAACATATCGTTGGAAAGCGGAGAATTTTAGAAAAACAATATCTAATATAGAAAGTAAGGGAGAGTGACAAAAATTATAAATAATAATTTATAAAAAGTAATATTATTTAACGGAAATCGCATATTTTCAAGAAAATTAAATGAAATGAAGTTTACTAACTAAATTAAAACTTTTTTTTAAGTTTGAAAACAAATTATTTAAAATCCACCTAATCAAGGCAATGGCATTATTAAAAAAAACTATTTCATATTACTTACGTAAAAGAAGTGGAATATAAAAATATTTCATGGATATATAAAGCATATGTTTATAACCTTAAATACATTTATTGTAGTTTAATAATTATAGATCTGATATTATATTTAAATAATTAGATATAAACGTCCGTTTATTCCAAAAAATTGTCATGTAACCGTTTATAAAATTAAATTAGTGAATAATTTGACGAATTTTCCCTTTGTGAAATCGAAACATTATACACTTAAAATTAGTGTGACAACTTTTGATCTCTATGGCAGACAATGAAAACCTGTAATTTCATTTTAGGAAACTTTCCAATGGAAAATAACAGTTTAATAACTAATAGGCCTACAATCTATAATCATTTATGGGTTGAATATAGAGATATACCTTCAAATCGCTCTAGCCATATATATAATATTACAATGGTTTTTTTTTTTATAATTCGACCTTTATATATTATAACTTAAGATATGAATTATAGTCGGATAATAGGTCATGAATATATCAATCAATATATATATATATATATATATATATATATATATATATATATATATATATATATATATATAATGTTTATAAAAACAAATGCAGTACCGAGAGTTTTATGGTCTTAATGACTTTTTAGCTGTAAGCTTTGAGCTATAGCTCCATTAAAAATGCACTTTAACAAATTTGTAATTGCTCAACATTGCCAGAAAATAATTTCTATTCAAAGTAGAGAGGCAAGTGAAAGTTGTGTGTTGCGCGCACCAGATTTTTTTACCTGTCATTAGTGTGACATCTTGTAGTAATATTTATTTAAATACATTTCCAGATTTGAATGCAATATTGTGTCAACATTTCAAAACAATCAGAACTTTTGAATTTTCAAGGTTTTGAACAAACTAACATTTACTGTTTTATTTATGTAGATATATTCAATTGCCTCGTACAGGACATCAAGAAGTATTTGTTGTATTAATTTTTTTTTTAAATATCAATTTTATATATTTATATATTTTATATATTCTTTTAGGGAAGGGATACAGTGGACTTGATGAAATGTCGTGATGTTTTGCCTCCTACGAGAGTTGAAGCTCCTCCAATTCGTCTTTCTCAGGAGTACTATGATTCTACAAAAGTCAGCCCTGAGTGAGTGTTATTTATAATTATATATACATATACATATTTTTTTAATGAAGAGAAGAATAGTTGGGATGGTCAGTCAAAAAAGAAGGCAAAAATAAATGATAATAATTATTTTTATGCCGACGTTTCGACCTGAAGTTCAGGCCATCATCAGGGCTAAGAAAAGAACCAGATAACAAGGTATGAGAAACATAAAAATTACAGTAAAATGAAGTTGTTAGAATAATGACAATAGTAAGAACAAGAGACAAATAATAATAACAGGTACATACAAAGTGTGGAATGATGAAGTAAACATAGTCAAAAAAGGTGACATAAGTATTGTAAAGGACATAAGGATCTAAGATTCCCTTTACAATACTTATGTCACCTTTTTGACTATGTTTACTTCATCATTCCACACTTTGTACCTGTTATTATTATTTGTCTCTTGTTCTTACTATTGTCATTATTCTAACAACTTCATTTTACTGTAATTTTTATATTTCTCATACCTTGTTATCTGGTTCTTTTCTTAGCCCTGATGATGGCCTGAACTGAACTTCAGGTCGAAATGTCGGCATATGTAAAAATAAATATTATCATTTATTTTTGCTTTCTTTTTTGACTGACCACCCCAACTATTCTAATCTTCATTATCCATGACAATCAACCATTTACCAATTATGTATATATATTTTTATTCATGATACTTTTGATATATGATATTTGAGATATATTTGATTAAGAATTTGGTATTACTAAATTTTCCATTTCATTTTAACTGTCAATCTGATGAATTGAATATTTGCCGTTAATATCATTAATTTTCCTGATCATTTTTTTACAAGATTCTTTTTGCCTAATGAAGTATTCTTTTTCACAGCAAATTATTTATTTTTGCTTACCATATTGTTGTTTAGTTTAAATTTTTCCTTAATTTTATTATCCTAAATAAATCAATCAGGCCATCTTAAGGTGCTATTTTGATGGTACTGCCAACTGTTAATGTTTGTGTATTTTACTGAAACTGCTCACCATAGCAGCTGACTTCCTCCTCGCATTATTTAATGGTTTTTATTTTTATCAGAAGGGCAGGAATACATTAAATGGCAGGATTTTGATCTTATTTAATTAATACATACCATTTTATTTGGTATTTGAAGTTGAATAATGAGGTTAGGTTATGTCAGTACTTTAGAATGTTAACCATTATCTACATATTGTTGCCCATTTTCTACAAATGAGTGGCCTCGTGGCCTCATATAACAGATAGACATTTTCATATTGTAAAAAAGCTAATTTTTGTAACATTGCTTCAATTTAAACCGATCCTAATGATTGTCTTCCTTAATTCAACTTATCTATCGATCTATCTTTATCTTAATGGCTCTACCATACAGCCGTCAGTGGGTCCTGGCCTCCTCAACGAGCTTCTGCCAAATTTCTCTATTCTGTGCAGCCACTTTCCAATTCCAATATCCTAGTCTAAAGTCCATTAGACGTTTTTCATGTCTATTACCATTGATCAGTCCGCCTTTATTTCTTTGAGGTCTCATAATAGTTTATATTTAAGGAAAGGGGGTTATTAGACCACTGCTCCCTAGTCAGGTGGAAGGGTTGCCTCCTCGTAGCAACCTGATTTGCTCCCACTCTGGGGCGCAAGGAAGGAAGTCCTAGGGTGAGTAGTGTAGGTGTCCTTGTGTCCGTTTATATGTATAGTGTAGTGTTATATGTGTATTTGTGCTGTGTACTAAACTCGGGTACCTGGAGGAACGTTAATCCCCACTAGCTAAGCACAAGGCCCTTGATGGGGCTAATTCAATTTGAACATTCTTAAATAAAATCATCAGAGACGTTTATAGTAAAACCTATAAAATAAAAATTGAGTATTTGTCCACTTTCTGAAAGTGATAAATGTCTGTCTTTAATATGAGGCTACTCAAATGTCTGCCATCGGGACTCGAACTTGTTATCTTAAGTTTATCAGATTGCTGGATAAGGTGTGTTTTGCACACGTGAGGTGTGCCACCCTGGCAAAATGGTGCAAATGCCCATGAGCATTTGGTTTTGGAAACCCTTGAGTTTTACATTTGTTTGTGAAGTGTATTCACATGGCGACAATAAAATGTTAATAACCTCTCTCTGGTAGGCAAGTTTTATTTTTAAACTTTAAAAACTAAAATATTTATTTATTTTTAAATAGGATATTCAGATGTACGCTGACCAAAATACCTGAGACGAAATCCCTTCTTGATAAATCTAGGCTTCCTCTTGGTGTACTGATCCACCCATTCAAGGACCTAAATGTAAGTTGTTAACAATATTTAATTTTTTTACGAATAAGAAATATAATGATCTTTACCTCATTGTATATCATTTTGTCTTTATTATTTTAGCAATTGTCAGTGATCCAGTGTACCGTAATAGTGAGATGTAGAGCATGTAGAACGTATATAAATCCTTTTGTATTCTTTGTTGACTCAAAACATTGGAAGTGCAATCTCTGCTTTAGGGTGAATGATTGTAAGTACTAATATATATATATATATATATATATTAAAGCCAGGTTTTAAAAATAATAACTATTATTTCAAATCATAAAGCCTCGAATCTCTAGCTCAAAGGTAAACAGTTAACCTATCAATACTTGGCCATTTCAGACGTCATTGGGACAGAAAAAAACAAAACAAGATATGTAAGCAGAAAGAAAAAATCTGCTGCAATGCACATATCATACAACTTTGACTTACCTCACTACTTTGTATAGAAATTTATAAAATTATATTCATCCATTTTTTGTCTCCGTTCATTTTGTTCTATGATTATATTTTAATTATCTATTTAAATATAAGAGTCCCAAATGCATGGAACGTTCCTGGAGGAATGCAATGAGCAATGGGAGAAGGGAGGAGGGAACGTTTGGGAGCCATCCACCAAGTGCCAGTGCACTCGAGTATTTTCTTCTGATCCCGGTACCAATACTTATTTCTCCTCTAGTTAGTTATAAAATTCTATTATAGTTAATATTTTACCATTTTTTGTTATTAGATGTAACGTGGAATGATTAATTATTTAAAATAAACAAAACCAAAATTACTTCATAGGAAGAAATTTTAAAAAATTGACATTTAAGATCTGTAAGACTATATCAATGGGTATAATACCTACCTGATATTAAATACTACTCGATTTTACATAAATATCAAGAGTTTGTAAAAATGTTTAAATTCGATGATACAAAGTGCCACCTCCGGTTAGTTGATTTTAGCAAAAAAGTTGCTGTAACATACAAGGCATACCTACGTATCTTGATTTTGAGTTAAGCTGTTCACACACAGAGATTTTTTGAAAATTGGTTATTTGGACTCAGGTCACCTCAAAACATGTATTTCTGTTGAAAATTTGGATTAGAAAATTTTCATGATCTCAATACTTTTCCTTACCTATATATTTCATATATAAGTAAGTGAAATTAAAAAATATATATCTATTACTTTTACTTGTAACTGTACATAACATCAAGCAATCCCAAGACATACTGAAGGAAACAAAAGCTTCGATAGTAGAGGTATGTTATATAAGTACAAAAAAAATAATTTTTTTTCTGGATATATATGATCTTGTTTTACTTTCACTTACCTATAAATGTAATATATAGTAAGGGTAAGTATTGTGATTGTGAAAATTGTTTAATCAGTTCTCAGCGGCAATACACATTTCAAGGTCTCCTGAGTCCAAATACCAAGTCCCACTAATTGCTTGTGTGTGTATATATGTGAACAGCCTAGCTCAAAAACAAAAAGTCGTGGGAAATTGAAATTTTGTATTTGAGATTTTTATAAGCCTGAGATGTTACAGCAACATTTTTGTCAAAATGGAAGTGGTACTTTATATCATCGATTTAACACGTTTTTACGATTTTCTCAAAAACTGCTCTTTTTGGCAAAAACTCAATATATCAGTCAGTGTATTATTAAGCAGATGTTGATATAATGTAGGTTTTATTCTCATTGATTTTCTCTAATATGGCTTAAATGGCCAATTTTCAATATTAGCTTTCTCTAAAGTGTCATTATTTTTTTAAATTTTAAATAATTAACCATTTCACATTGATCTTTGATATAAAAAAATAGTTAAATATAAAATATGAAAGAATTTTATAATTAACTAAAGGAGAAATAAGAGGTTGTAATGGAGGAAGCAAACCCTAGCTCGCCTGAAAGATTAGAACAGGCTTCCATACATAATATGAGCTTTATATAATAGACTCCGACAATATTATGTACATATAAGTATGCAGTTTTCATAAATGCTATCGTTGGTATTATTTAATATTTAAGTGTATAGATTACAGCGACATAAAAATTAAAATTTTTATATATAAGGATAATTAAACAAATAATAATATCCACAATGAATTGTAAATAAATATGGGGTCTACAAATTATACTTTCATCTCCCCTTTGTCTGAACATATTTATTTCTGCTAAGAATAGGGTGGTAGGTGAAAGTCGTGTGATGGGCGCACCAGATTTTTTTCTGTCCCTATGATTCTTTCTTAGTAATTAAGATAATATCTTAGCAAGTTTAACTGTTGACCTGTATGTTAGAAACTTGAGGCTTTATGTTATTTTATATTAGTAATAACTATTTTATTATTAATTATATACAAAATAATAATAATATTAAACATTATAGAGTTATTTTTAAGAGAGTAATATTAGTAATATTTTATACTAAGACAAAAATAGTTTTGAAAAAAATTCATGCAATTTCATATACTACTACCTATGAAGGGTCTTGGGTTTAGTAATTTGTAAGAATGCACAGTTTCTATTACACAACCGTGAAATTTTAATCTACTTTAATGGTTTCATAAAAAAATCTACATTATATTTAATTCATCCTTAAAGGAGAGCAGAATCACTAACTATAAGATTTGTAGATCAATACTATTTTATTTTATATGTAGTAGATAACTTTCCAATAAAATGCAACCAATTTACCAAAAGTATAAACTTTCAATAAAATTCAGAGGAAGAAAATCAGGTTTACAACTTACGAATCAGTATTTTTACTCAAAAATGGTTGGAATAAAATTTTAGATTATAATTTAAATTTGTTATATTTATTATTATCTTTAACAGTTAATGTAGCTAGTATTAGAACACTTGATTTTCTATTGCAATAATACGCTTTCGATATATATATATATATATATATATTTTTTATTAACTTTTAATATTGAGTCTGATTTATCCATTATTACTTATTTTATTTATAGTGCCAGAAGAATTTCAGTATGACCCATTAACGAAGACTTACGGAGACCCTACTAGACGACCTGAAATAAAATCTGCTACAATAGAATTCATAGCCCCATCGGAATATATGGTAAAATTATAAATTGTTACTTTTGTATTATGGTTGAACTAATTTGAATTTTAGTTTTAAGATAGTTGGTTAAAAAAACAAATTTACAAAATAGTTGCTCTTTTATTCCTTTTTTCAATCTTATAAACATTTACTTTTGTATGTATTGCATTGTTGCAGAAGTGGAACATATATTAAACAATTTTTTGCCCTACTTAATCATTATTTTTTTGCAAAACAATTTTTTCAATTAAGATATTATCACTTTTAGTTCGGTAAATAAAAAGTTGAAGTTTCTGATTTTTAGTGTCGAGGGATGTATTGATTATTTTTTTGTTTTAATACTATAGCAATAATATTCAATTGATTGTTATAGATTACTGAAAATATGCATTTTAGAAAATGTAAATAAAAAAATGCTACAAACTATTTCTCAATGGTTTATTATTAGGCGCTACAGTATATAGCATTTTAGGTTTTTCAGCCACCATTTTGAAAGTAAAAGGCAGATAATAATGTCAATGCAGGAGGATTATCCTCAGGTCACCTCTGATTTTATATCCAAATTTTAAAAAAAAATGGTCCAGCAGTTTCGGAGAAAATGTGCGGATGGCGGACGGACAAAAAAATTTTTATTCGTTTTTAGAATTCTAATCCTGAAACGTAAAATTTCAAATTTTGAGAGGGAGGGAGTTAAGTTTTTGAATTTTTTGGTCGATCACAATGGTTCATTATTGAAAATAATAGACTTAAAATGCAAGAATCAGTTTTTTTAATTTTAATATTCCACATATGGAACAATGGCAGGTTCACTCTATAGAAATGTTTGTTCTATTCATTGTTTCCTACCTTCTTAGTACAAAACTACACATGGAAATTCACAGAACTACTAATTGCTATTCTAAGATTTTCGATTTTTTATATAATTCCTTACCGATAGAGAAAAACTGCTTGTTTTTTTTTTTTTTAGTTTCTTTTAACAGATATTATTGGAAATACAATCCCAAACATCCTTTGGTGTTAGTTTTCTCAGTCATTATTGTGTTCTTGTCGTGACTGCATCGCGTTTCTTATTCACATTTTATTATAATTAGGTAATGTGAGCTTTATCGTAAAAATATGGTCCGCGTACAGGGCCGAAGACTTCCATCTCTCCTAGCAGGCGTAAGGCAGATGGAAATGATATAATTTCAGCTTCTCAAGGAAGGTGTCTTCATTGTGGCACCAACACAAAATATCAATGCAAAAAATACCAGAAACGCATTCATGTTGATTCTCTAATATCATGGATTATAAATCGTATATTAGCATAACAAATTTTTTTTTTTATTCCGTATTCTTACATACGCATTTTCTATTATTTTACAAATAATTATAATCTTTTACTATAATATAATAATAATTTTTTATTGATATTTTTAAAAACAACACTATTCTTGTATTGAATATTCTAATAAAACTATAAAGAAAAAAGTTCTTTGTATATCCTGATCCTGCCATTGTTCTACTTATGAAACATGTTGGAAAAGCACATAAGAAAAATTAAGATTTTTTTAAGAAATATCTAAAGTGAACCATATTGAAACCAATATTACGTCTGGTTGCTGTCATGTCACAAAAGCAAAATTTATGGAGTTAGCATTCTAGTTTCCTCCAAAAGTGAATTTGCAAAAAAATAAATAAAGAATTATCATATAGTTATCAAAGTTTCTGGAAATATTTCAAACTTTGCTGGTCTTCATTCTATATTTTTCCCTTTTACAGATACATATAATTTACGGTATATTTAAAAAGGATGGTATTATCTATTTTAGTAATGCTTCCACAATGAATTAATTTCTCGGCTAAATTAAATAATGCATGGGCAATTAAAAAAAAGATCTCATTTTAATGTCAGATAAGTAAAAATAAAATGAAATAAAAAATAAAGCATTTATAGATCTAACTTTAATGTCAGACAAGTAAATTGAATATCTCTTAGTCTTTGAAAAAGTCCTTTTCAATGGCAAAGAAATAATGTATATAAAAGATAAATAATTAAACATTGTTGGAAATTAAAATAATGACCTCCAAAGGACAAATTTCCAAACAATCTGATTATTACATAAAAAGGTTTTGTTATTGTTCAAATATTTATATATATATAAAAAAAAAAATATATTTCTACTGGAATTAGGGGAAGGCGTGTAAAAGGTTAAATGGTAATTATTTCTATGTAGAAATCCATTTTCCCTTAAACTTTTATTTTAATATGTTTAACTTAATTTTTTGAAGTTTGTTATCAACTAATTCGACGGTATCAACTAATGCGGCCTAGAACCTTGTAGCAAAAATAAATCATGCCAATCTCGCATTACAATTAGATGTTAGAGGCTGTTAGTTAGCGAATGCAGTTAGTTGGTTGTAAGTCTGTGCGAAGTCAACTCAGGAATTAGTTCATTGATAAAAAATTAGTTGTGAAGTTTTATCAATGATTAGGTTATATCATGGTAAGAAAATAATTGACTGTAGTTCTAATTTAAGAAGTTGGTCGGGGGTGCAGTCAACAGTCACATAATATTAGTTGTAATGGCTTTTATTTTATTAGGCTACGTTTCAATCTATGTTGTAAGTCTTTATCAGAAAAGAACAAGTTAACAAAAAAAAAAACTGATACAAGTTGCAAAAATAATATAAAAGTTAATGTTAAAAAGAAAATTATCATTCGTTTCTACTAGAAACAGTCTTATATTGTGCCGAAACTTGGACAATATGTCCAAACTTTCAAATAGTGCTATTAAAACATTTAGGTCAGGAAAAAAATTATTTTATTTAATGAGAAGGACTTAGTCGAGGGTGCGGTCAAATAAATCAAAAAATTAAAATATATAAACAATTTTAATTTTTGCCGACGTTTCGACCCACTTTGCAGGTCGTCTTCAGGGCTACAAAAGATACAAACATGTTGAAAAAATAAAAAAAAAATAAAAAATAAACATAAGTATACATAAATTACGAAGAAGTTGTCAGATACAGAAATAAAAGATAAAGAAAATAAATACATGATAAGAAAATAGATAAAAGAAAATAAATACATGAATGTTAACGAATAAATAGATTGAAAATTGAATAACTATTGTTACAGTAAAGTTAAAATATGGATAAGATAACATAATAATAAGATATCAGTGGATAACAAGCAAGTGGAGGTTACCTTTAATTGTAAATAAACAGATAATGGGACCAAAGGTTAAGAAGTGAAGAAATTGAAAGATTAATAGGGTAACATTAGTGTAATATTGTTGGGATAGATTATTAAGTATAAATAACTCTATAAGAAAACAATAATTTTGAAAGAATACTTTAAAATGTAAGAATAAATTTAAGAACAAGGTTATGATGATAAAGAAACAAAAAACAGGTTGTACTATATATAGATGACAATTGACATTTAGTTTTTTGAAAGCGGTAATGGAATGGTAGGCTGCATGAAGATAATAATAAGGTGTATAGTTGAAGGATAGGTGTGTTAAGAAAAGAATCACAATAAAAGTCAAAACATACCGTTGGATGTGGCACTGCGGGAGGCAGTTGAAACACTGGCAGTGTCAAAAAACTCTAGTTGGCAGTGTCAAAACAAGTTCTAGTAAAAATAAACGCATACATACATACACATATATACACATACAAACACACACACACATATATATATATATATATATATATATATATATATATATATATATATACACACACAAGCATACATATATGTACACAACACATATGGTTTGTAGTCTAATTGAATGAGGAAAAATAAAAAAATAAAAATAAAAAAAAAATAAAAAATATTATTTTTTCAATATGTTTGTATCTTTTGTAGCCCTGAAGACGACCAAAGTGCAAAGTGGGTCGAAACGTCGGCAAAAATTAAAATTATTTATATATTTTAATTTTTTGATTTATTTGACCGCACCCTCGACTAAGTCCTTCTCATATCATATCAACGGTCAACCATCTCTACATTATTTTATTTAATATTGAAAAAGAGGACTGGTATGACGATGTAATGAGGATGGGAGACGGCAAAAGGCCCAAAAAAGTTTTCTTGTACAAGCTAAGGTAAAGAAAGAAAAGGGAATGGCTAAGAAAGCACCGAATGGAAGATGTGAATGTAATGGCTCCAAAAGGTATGCGAGAGGAGGATTGCTTTGATAAGGGAATATAACAAAAATCACTTCTAGAGTTCAGATTACAATAATTATACTAAACCAAAATAAATAAATATCCAAAGATCTAAATTTGCTAATTGTTTTATTTCTTATCATATGTATTGTCATATCTGATAATTACTCTATTTTAATAGGTACGACCACCGCAACCAGCAGCATATGTGTTTGTATTGGATGTGTCCAGATTGGCAATCGATAGCGGTTATTTACGCATTTTTTGCGATTGCCTCCTCTCCCAGCTGGAGGCGTTGCCGGGTGACTCGAGGACAGCTGTGGCTTTTATTACGTATGACTCTGCAGTCCACTACTACAGCCTTGCCGATACCCAGGCACAACCACATCAGATGGTGGTCGTGGATATCGATGGTAAAGATTTTTTTATGAATTTATAATATTATTAGCAGGCCCGTGCGAAAAATTCGCACCGCGTATTGTTTTCAAATGCCAAATTAATTAGAAAATAAAATAATGCAATGTATAAAAAGGATAAAGAAATCAGTTGTTACTTTATCGATAAATATAATCGACAAAGGAAACAAAAATTAATTTAAAACTTCATTAATGTTTGGAACCAACATGTTTACAAATTTCAATAAGCTGTATCTTTGAAAATAATTGTCCGATTTTGATGATTTTTTTTTTCTTTTTGTAGGGAATTTAGTCACCTTTTATATAATGATGGGCATAACCAAGGGAAAAGTGTGTAATTTTTTAGTTATTCGCAAATAAAGTGTGTTTTCTTTCATAACTTGTTTGCCTGAATTTTCGGAATGATTGGACTATTTTGTCCGCCTGAAGGAGAAGGAAGCCTTCAGAATTGGTTTCTCATTCTTGAGATTTGGTAAAGAATTGACGATGATATGGCTTGCTAATAAAAAACAATATAAACTCCTCTCTCGATCATAGAGGCCTCAAGTCGATGAAATGAGACATGTGTTCAATGAGAGTACTACAATTAACGTAAGGCTGTGTGGATGCGAACCCTATGCCTTGTGTTGTCTCGAAAATAGTACGTTTTTGGGCTTAAAAACACAGGATCCGATAGTTCCGGAGGAACTATCCGCGTCTTGCTGTATACATCAAAATCTTCAAGGTCCAATTTGTCCCGTATCGATCTACAGAACTACCACCATTCCTGTATTGAAGCCTAGAAAAATGTTTGTATCGACTTTATTTATTTTAGAAAGAAAAACAAAAGTGGAGAATACAATTCGCTAACCCCCTGTGAAATTCTGAATCCAACGGTACCCCATTCATGGTATTTGAGCCTGAAAGGAGCTTATATTTGGTACAAAACCGATTTCGAGCCTTACTGTAATAATATATGTGTAGATATTCATGTTTCAGATATATTATATCACTAATTTCATGCTTCTTTATATTAGTATAAATTCAATTTTAACTTGTTATCTTTACTGTTATTTCTTTTTTTAAAATTTTTATTTTCTCTTTGCATGTACATTTTTTAAACTTATTCATATTGTTATATAATTAGATATGTTCGTCCCATGTCCTGAAAACTTACTGGTGAACCTGAGCGAGTGCCTTGGGCTGGTGCGGGACCTTCTGCGGGAGCTGCCTAATAAGTACAGAGAATCCTATGACACGGGCACTGCTGTCGGTCCCGCCTTACAGGCAGCTTACAAATTATTGGTATGTGTTAATCGTTAGTTATCAATTAATATTTTATTTTATGGAAATAGTTTTATTTTATTTTATGGAAAAATATTACGTGTGTATTTTCGGCTTGTTATCAATCCTCCTATTCTTAATTTTTAAACTTCTGCCAGGCACATTCACTATATATAATTATCCTTGTCCTCATATATTAATAACTAATAGATTGCTATTTTTTAGATTTTTATTAAAAAAATTGGCTGTTATTAATAGCATTACACCTACAGCTTTAAATTATTATTTACCCACCATGGTAGGTAATGTTATTGAATGAATGAAAACGTGTTTATTAAACTTTTTAAAAAATTACACAAAGTAAAGTATATATATATTTAACTAAAAATCCGCCATGCATCATCCTTATCCACCTTTAAAACCCTCTTATTCCAATTCCTCTTCACAATCCAATCAGACACTGGTTAAATACATACTATGTTATTAGGATTTAATTTTCTTTAGACATTATTTTTTTTCTCTTATTTTTATTGTTTTATTATGTGTTGAACATGAATTTTCATCACCACTCTCTAAGCATTGTGAGTAGATAAAATTTGTTTTCCTTAAGTTCTAATTTGTTATTCATGGAATGTATTTCAGTGAAATGTATTTTATTTCTAGTTATCTTCAACATACTTCTCGCTATGTGTATATATATATATACTTTATTTTATTTTCTCTTCTCCTAATCTTTACGCATAATCACTTAAATATCTTAGGGAACATATGTATATCACTATTTGTTTTTTTATATATTTTTTTGTTTTAGTTTTTACAATTTCTTTCCCTACATATTAACAGTTATTATTATTTTTTTTAATTTTTATATTCCATCACTACAATGCTTTACCTATAAAATAGATTTTACTTTCCTTTCTAATTTCATTCAGTGATTATTATGCAATTATTTTAGCTTCAATATTGTAGTACTGAACCCCTATTACCCAACTGTCCTCGTTAATTTATCCTAAGAGCTTAATTAATACTTAATGTACTACATGTATTCTGTCATTATTCATTGTAATAAGTCTTTTGACCAGATTTGTAGTTAATATATATGAACAATACTGTTATTCTAAAGGGACCTAGTCCCAGAATAAAGATGATTTTTCTATTTCTATTTATATATATATATATATATATATATATATATATATATATATATATATATATATATATATAATGTGATGAATATTTATTATTAATTACACACAGACCTCGACAGGCAGAATTTTCCATTGTGTTGTTGCTTGTATATATTGTGTATATATATATATACAAGCAACAACACAATGGAAAATTCTGTCTGTCGAGGTCTGTGTGTAATTAATAATAAATATTCATCACATTTATAACTAAAATAAATCAGTAACAATATATCTACAGTATTATTATAGTTTTATACATTCATTCTTGCAATTTTTTTTTTACTGTCTCATCTGTTTAAATAGAGTTTTCAAAAAAACAAACATTAATACATCACAAATCCAATAAATAAGAAATTTAAATTCAACAATAATAATAATCAGAAAATACAATATAACAATAAATAAACACAATATTGTATCAATAATTTACTATCTGACTAATTGGGATCTTTTCAATGTGGCCTGCTGTACATAATTGCTTAAGGCTTTCCAGTTAGAACCCTTTAAGAAACCAAATAATTCTTCTGGAGAACAGGTCCGCTGCCCAAAACATTTCTCTCTTAACTCACTGAACATGTGACAAGTCCCCTAAAAGTGAATGATATCCTCTTTTTCTTGAGAGTTACATACCGGACAGCAATCGTTGTCCCCCACCATCCATGGTTTTACACTTACATCGAGCAATTCTGTCCTACATCGAAAAATTGACCCTATAGTCACAATATCAAAACTATCATTAAGATAGGGTGTTACAGTGCCCATTGAACATAGCCCTGCGTAAACAGAACTTGAATGACGACGTTTTTCTAGATTATTTTGTTTTTCTAAGTCCTCTACCCTATGTCTAACAACAGTCAATTTTCCGCACAGATTAACGATATTTGCAGTATCAAGATTAATTTTGCAACTATTCTCCAATTCTAACCACTTTTGGTACCAATAAACTCTCTTAGTTATCACCTCTTTCGCTAGGATATGTGGCAAACGAAAACTCGGCATCTCCAGCACTTTCAAAATATAGTCGAAATGAAAGTAGGTTATGTTTTTAAACGGAATTTTAAATAAATTTCTGCTGGGGGTCCTTCCTAAATCAGTTCCCTTCTTTGATAAGTTGGGATAATACAAGAGTTTTACTCTTATTTTATTATTAAATGTTTCAGTTAAATTGATTAAATGAGATATTTAGTTTAAAATCATGCATTATAATTAATGATTTTAATCGATTGAATCAAATCCTGAATAAATCCACTGGAATTGATCCATTTTAGGATGAATTACAAAAAAAAAAGATACATTTTAGTTCAAAATCGCTAAATAGATCAATAAGATCCTATAGGATTTTATACTTTAAATTTACTATCCATAATCGGCATAGATCTGTTGAGAACTGTTTTTTCCCTTAAATAGACAAAAAAATGAGAAATACTTCAAAACCCGAGCGAGCCCTAGTCTTGAGGTGTAGAAAAGTTCATCACGTTTTGAAATGGCTCGCTCATGCACGCAGCCTTTTCTTTTGACAGGAAGAAATTAATAAGTGACATCAGATTTATTTGTAATCACTATAGACATGATTTTCTTGTAATAGAGAAACCTTAAAGCAGAGATGTTATAAAGCAAAAACAATTGTTTAACTTCATAATACTTTTATTCAGATAATGTATAAAAAAATATTGCAAATTATTACATGATTTATTATTTCGAAATAGTTATATATCAAATACGTTTGGCGAGTCACACTTTATTCCTTACAACTTCTGGGAAAAATTAAAAACAATAATTGCCTCATTAAGATTTTTTTTCATTTTTTTGTTAAAATATTTAGAAAACAAAATTATTCTTTGAATAACAATCCTAACTGCTTTTGTATTTTAAAACAAAAGAAATCTGTAAAGTTGATATAACATATTAAAACATAATCAAAATGTTCATTATGCCATATCTCTGCACCAATTAGTCAGATTTCAATGAATTTTTTTTCACATTAGGATAGCTTTTCCTTCTCCCAAATGCATTCAGTATATAAACAACATTAGGTAAACATGTGTATTCTCATATACAATATCATATCATCAATATAATCTATTCAACACACACAATTGGTGAAGCTAATTTTATAATTATAACTACAGAAATTGTAGTACAGTTTTGTGCAGAAAATTTTCAAAATGTGCTAATTCGTGCAGTTTAGAACTATTCTGATTATGAAGATCTTATTCATGATTCGAACTGTTGTTTTCCGTTTGGCTAAATTTGAAGCTCGTGAAAAAAAGATACAATGGAACGAAAATGCAGCCTTTAGTCATCGCATTGACCATTTGAGGAATTGGTGTGATTACTATATAAATAATATTTATTATATATATATATATATATATATATATATATATATATATATATAAAATAGCCAGCTGACTAGTACAGTGGTTCAAGAGAAGAAAAGGTGACTAACTAGTAGTGAGTGTGAATAGACGATAGTAGAAGTTGAATACAACAATACAGAGGAGGGTGAGTGAAATATAAATAGGGACAGTTGGAAAGTGCGCCAAGAGTAGACCTCGACAAATGGATGGAAATTCATAAATATGTTATATAACATTTATGTATGCCTTTGTATTATATATTTGAGGAATGTGTTTGTTGTCATTCAGAAACTGTTTTGTTTACTTTTCAAAGGAAACGTAACCTAACAATATATATATATATATATATATATATATATATATATATATATATATATATATATATATATATTGATTACTGTGGTTCTTTTGTTGATTGTTTTTATAATTTACTATTTCATACAGGCCGCAACTGGTGGAAGAGTGACTTTGGTGACGAGCTGCTTGGCAAACAGTGGGCCTGGCAAGCTTCCCTCGCGAGAGGACCCAAACCAGAGGAGCGGGGAAGGCTTGAACCAGTCTCATCTCAACCCAGTCACCGACTTCTACAAGAAGTTGGCCCTCGACTGCTCCGGTCAGCAGATAGCCGTCGACCTGTTCGTACTTAACAGTCAGTTTGTCGACCTTGCGTCTCTGAGTGAGTATTGTACTTCGTCTTTATTGAAGTTTTAGCTATAAAAAAAAAGTCATGGGTCATAGAAATTGCAATACTCACTAAAAATTTTATTTTTCCAAAAATGAACATAAATGCTTGTTTTTAACAAATGCTGTGTAAAAAAAAAATATATACACTGACGAAAAAATTCCACCCACTTGATTTTTTCATGTTTTCATCTAAAAATATTTCTGCTTTGGATTGGTCTATTGTTTTTAATGAATAAATTGGTAATATTTGTGTTTATTTTCAATTAGGAATATTAATATAGAAGACAATAACCCCTAATTCTTAATTCCAATGTTTACTTTCTATGGAATCAAAATGTTTATTCAGTATCATTAGTTCAGTGCCGTTTCTTGCAGCACATTTCTTAGTCTCCGGCTTTTAATTTTTTCAATATTAAGTTTAAAAATGCCTCTTAGTGCTGAGGATGTTGCGCGTGGTGTAGCACTTATTGATGATGGACGTTCCATTAGATATGCAGCTAATGCCATCGGAGTTCCATATGAAACTTTATGAGACGCCGTCAGGCGTTTTCAGGAAACTGGTTCTTACAATAGAAGGCCCGGTTCTAGACGGCTTATGGTAATAGAACCACTGGATGACTGGTTTTTTACTTTGAGAATTTTACGAAACCGGCACCTTTCCAACGTGGTTCCTTAATGGGTAACAAGTGGGTGGAATCCTGTCAGTGTATATATAATCTCTTGCAAAAGCAAAGCACCTTTTGAAAAAACCCATGAAAGTCTGTAAACAAATGTATACGGGGTGTTTTGTAATTGCATGGCACTGTTTTAGGTATGTGTTCACCAACACAAAATAAACAAAAAAGTTCAGATTAACATATATCTCAAACTTATCGATTAAACAGATATCAAAGGTTAAAGATTTGTTATTTATTATTACTATTCATTTATTATTATTACAACATTTAGAGTAACTGTTCAAAGGAGCCTCCGTTTTGTTGAATGCAACATTCAACATGACGAATCAATGCTTCTCTGGCTCTTCATAAGGATCTCGTGTGCATTGTCGAATTAACCACTGGGAGAAATTTCTGCGCTTGTTATAATCTTGTGGTAACAAATCTTGGCTACTTAATACATGAAATGGATACAATTGTTGTTCACCATATGCTGATAGAAGAAACATCTAAACGACGTGAAAAACTTCTGGTATTAGTAGAAGGCGATAATTGAACAGCATCGAGTATTTCTTCTTCAATGTTTGCAGTTCGTCGAAATCTTTTTCGACAGGCGTTTACTCATATAGGTTTTAGCGTGGCATTATCCCTAAGGCGTCTATCAATGGCCTTAAACGTTTTACGATTTGGTATTCTTCGTTTAAGAAATTCACTGCTATTCAAGATATCTTCAAATAGCAGCTGTACCATTTCTATGTACCTCGCCATAAGTTAAAAGCAAGTCTGTTCTGCAAAAATGAATAAATTTATAGTGTCTCCCATGCTGATCATAAATTGAACTGTGTCACAGTATTCACTCACACTAAAACACACAGAACTAGACAAACAGATGAGCAACTACTGTCATTGCTTATCGTTCATTTGTTTATCAGGTGATTAAAACCTGTTATTTAGTATTAAACAAGTTTGTACAGTCAGTCTTAATGTTGTAAATAAATAATAAATCTTTAACCTTTGATATCTGTTTAATAAATGAGTTTGAGATATATTTTAATATGATCTTTTTTGTTTATTTTGTGTTAGTGGACACATACCTAACAGAGTACCATGCAATATGCAAACACTCTGTTTATATTGAAATATAAATTTTTTTGTAAATTAATAAATTATTTTTTTGCCAAAGAAACTGCAGCATATGTTAATTATTTGAAGATATATGTTTTGCTCACATTTTCTCTATTTAGTACGTTATGGAACCACCCCTAGCTTTTATCACTGATTTTTTATTATTATTTCCATCCTTCCATGCCTCTAGGGCAATATGGGTACATACACACTACTGCAATGATAACAGTATACAAAATTCACAACTAGATCTTTTTACTTTCCATTCTTCAATTAATCAAGCCTGGCTTCCAGAATCCAAAAGTCTTGGCACTGGTATTCCTCTCCTTCTTCCGGACTCTAGGTTGAAGTGAGCTAGACCCACCGCGTCTTCCAGCCATTTCTGAAGTCTTTGAATCATGGGAAGTTTTCCTCACTCACCAACCGAGTAAACTCCTCCTCGTTGAGGATGTAAATAACCTACTGAAAGTTAAATGTAAATAATTTGTTTTGGCGGAAATAGGCGGATGGCCTTCCATTTATTTATCGGGGAACTTAAGTTATTTACACTCCTGTATATTAAAACAAATCCCCGGCACTGGATATAGACTTTTTTGAGGGTGTTTAACTGTTGTTGGGAATTCAGGAATCTAATACCTTTTGTGATAATAAGAATATATATTTGAAATGTGGGACTTAGTAAATACACTTTGAATGAATTGACTCACCTGGTTTGTTATTCTTCAATCGTGAGGCATATAGGACAACTAAATAAATAAATGACTTTTCACTCCTGTATAACAAAATAATTTATTTCTACAACTGTAATAAATTGACTCTATTAGAGTGTTATAACTATAGACTTGATCTTCTAAATCTTGTAGTAGACTCTCTTCCCAGGTATGTGTTCCGCCTCAAGTCCAACCTCCTCTCTTCTGACCACCTCCTTTCTACCTGTCCCGGCCTAGAATGCCTTCTCTTCTCTCCAGCTTTTGCTACCTGCTGGGTCCTTTCGGTACCTCCAACCTTCTTCCTTCTTCATCAATTATTTATCGATATGAGGCTTTTCAATGAATAATTTGTCCACTGTACAATCGAGTACAATTCATCGTGCAATCTCACATTTTTATATATTCCTTCTCATTCCCTCTCCTAATATCAACTAAAGGAGTAAATACAGGGGGCTATCTACTACAAGGACATAAATTTCGTTGGTTCTCATTACCATGGCTCTTAATCCGTTAAAAGCAGTCCATGCCGTTACCACATGTTTACTTGTCTTTGGACCACCGCAAGTGGGGTATAGGGGATCTACATCCGGATATTATCATTGATTTCATGGTTCCACAGATTCTTCACATTGTTTTCTTTATTTTTAGGTTTAACTGGTATTAAAGTATCAAGTACGACTATTTTTGGATAACCTCTCAACTAATCACAGTCAGATCTTTGAAACATACTTTTTTCAATGACTTTTATTAAAGTTGTATATCTTTAAGGATGAGAATTAAGATTCATCACTTTTACATCAAATTCCCTTTCTTTTTACACCTCCGTTGTCATAATCCACCGCTAAGCATTACCTACCACAAGGTTCCTAAAAGGAAGAACATGCCTGAGGTAACTGGAGGATGTCTAGGTCTAAACTGGCATTGTAGTCGAAGCAGGAAGAAGTGGTGAACTATTGTTCACCTTTTGGTTAAAATATTGCAATCTTATTTATCATATTCCAATAATGGTTGCATTTTTTTATTATTTGTTGTAAATTTTTTCCAAGATGAGAAATTGTTCTAGATAAATAAGATAATATGCTCCCATATATAAGTTTTTGATTTTAACATAATAAATAATTTGTATTACTTTTAAAATTTATTCGTACCAATTACTAATAAGAAATATTTTATTTGATTTCAGCTGGTGTTTCAAGGTTTTCCGGTGGCTGTATTCACCATTTCCCTCTGTTCTCAGCTAAGAACCCCCATCACGTCGAGTCATTCCAGCGTAGCCTACAGAGGTATTTGTGTCGTAAGATTGGCTTTGAATCTGTCATGAGGTTGCGTTGCACCAGGTATGTAAATTTTTTATTTTCTCTTTTATTATTATTGTTAGGTATTATTTTTTATAGAAATAGAAACAAAACAGTTATTGTAACAGTATATGTATTACAAAAATTTAATCAAACCAGCTAACCTTTGTGAGAACATTAGATAGCTATATCCTATCCTTGATGCATTTGACATATAAGCGAAATTGATAAACATTTATTCGTATATACAATATAATATTGGGTTGGCAAATAAGTCCTTTCAGCTTTTCTGCTTATTTTTATGCCTATGATACAATTCTTATCTGATGAATTAATCCCTAAGGTAGATTGTTTATCCTGTTTGTAATATGTCAACAACTATATCTGTTAACTCTTGTTGAAACTAGGTTAGTATTGTGTTTGCTATTGCACTGTGATTATGGAAGAAAATATTCATTATTGGCATATTTTTTTTGTATTATTTTAAAAAAGGTAAGCGTGCTGCAGAAGCTCATAGAAAAATTTGGAGTGTTTATGGGGATGATGCCTTAACCGAACTCACCTTTCAAAATTGGTTTCCCATATTTCATTCAAGAAATTTTGACTCAACGGCCTGGTCGCCCACATAATTGAAATGACCAATGTTAAGGCCGTTGTTGATCATTATACCACCCAACCAGTGCGAGAGATTGCTATGACCATAAATGGGTCGCACACAAGCGTAGAAAACCATTTGCACAAGCTCGGCTGTTTCCAGGGTTAATGTTTGGGTTCCCTACATGATTTTTTTTTTTTCAGAAATCACAAAAAATGTTATAACTTCAATACGACTTTAGCTATCTACAAGAAATTTAACAGGAATTTAGGTCCACATAAACCACACCAAATGACATCAACAGGATCTTCGTAAACAAACTAAAAATAGAGATAAAAAATAAAAACCTATAAGGAATTTTTTTTTATTTATTCCTTATGTAGGCATTAAATCAAAAAACCATTCATACGTCTTTGAAAAGCAATAATTCAGCTTTCTCTAACGGATATAGTAACATCGAATTTGGAGAACATCCTGAAGAGTTATGAATGATTGGAAGGGTGTTGTGTTCCACCAAGACAACGCTAGGCCCTTCACCTCATTGGTCACTCGCAATAAATTTTTGAGCCTTGGATGGAACCTTTTACCTCACCTTCCCTATTCACCAGACCTAGCTTCAAGTGACTACCACTTATTCCGTTCTCTGCAGAACTCCATGACTGGAAATTCCAAAAGGAAGAGGATATTAAAAACCTCTTGGATCAGTTTTTTACAATAAACTCCCCGACATTATCCAATTAGTGGAACTACGGGGAAAAGTCATATTAAATAATGTAATCAATATATTGTAGATTAAAATAAATTTTATGTATATAATACATTGAGTTTTATTTCACTCTGAAAAACCAAAAGGACTTATTGGCAACCCAATATTATCAAGATATTCTATTTAAAAAACACAATTGATGAAGCTTCATAATTTCATTCATTCAAAAGGTATATATTACAATATATAGAGAGGAGTATGTTCAAGATTAGTAAAAAATGGAAGAATCTTTTGTATAGAAAAAAATAATAAACCAAAAACAAAAAAAATTTACTCACAATGCTCCTCATGTAAGTATTTTTGAATAATTTTTTTTTTCTTTAATATAATTTTATTCCTATTCAGGGGGTTATCTATTCACACATTCCACGGAAATTTCTTCGTTCGCTCGACTGACCTGCTTTCCTTGCCGAACGTAAACCCGGATGCTGGTTTCGGAATGCAGGTATCAATAGATGAGAATCTTACTGATATACAGACTGTTTGCTTCCAAGCTGCACTTTTGTATACTTCAAGTAAAGGTAAGTTATTTTTTATCTTTACCTGCCTTCTTATAAATATTTCTTTTAATATCTTATATACTTCTCATTTATTATTTGTAAAATTTTATGTATATAATTATCTTTGGTGAATTATATAAATTAAATAAAAGTGGAGAAATGGCTGTTTCTTAACTGCAGAACAATGAAAATAAGTTGTATTTATTATATCTCGTTTTTCTACTTTAAATATTAATAATTTTAGTGTTGAAAAAGTTCATGACAAGTAAATGCAAGCTACTTTTTGAACAAATTATAATTTAAAAAAAAGTCATGATATACACAAAAAGTTATTTTATTTTTTTTTTTAAATTGGAACAGTAAGGAAAATAGTTATAGTGAAAAAAGAGTTCATTCAAACCATATTTGCATAAAAATAAAATAAATAAGCTTACACTTTTATAGACTGGAATAAAAATGTGTAAGCTGATTGTTAATCACTCAACATCTTTGTTAATTACTTTTCAATTGAGGACTAAAAATAAAAATAAAACTATCGACCAGATTTAACTATTGACCCACCTGGTCAATAGTTTTATTTTTATTTTTAGTCCTCATTTGACAAAAAGAAGAGAAGAACCACCATCAGTTAGGTGATTACCATTTTTATTAATAATTTATTAAGATTGGGTTTTAAATTTTAAATTAGGTTTTATTATTATTTGCAAAAGTTTTAATTGTTGTTAATTTTATTATTTTACCTAGCCTGATAAAGGTCTTGTAAAAGACCGAAACCGATTGCACAAAAGTGAAAAATAAAGGAATATACAGGAAGACGTCTTTTTTATTAAATTTGTAATTTAATGTTTCTCAATTTTAAAATTATAATTTTTCATCTCAAGCATTAGTTTTTATTATTTTAATTTTAATTTTTCTAGGAGAAAGAAGAATCCGTGTTCACACCTTGTGCCTTCCAATAGCTTCTAATCTTTCAGACGTTTTGCACGGAGCAGACCAGCAATGTATTGTGGGTCTTCTGGCCAAAATGGGTAAAGTAACATGTATTTACCTTAGTTAAACTAATAGTCGATAATTTTATCTGAGCTTTTAACAATACTTTTGTTTACACCTTTTGTTTAACAAGGTTGTACTAAACTAACATTGTTGGCGTTTCTAATTCTCCTTTAACTCTTAAATTGCTTACGATGGCCATAGATAGCCACCGCAACTGAATATGCCCCTGTTGCTAATGATGATTATAGTTGGCAGACTCCATTTCTACCTTCAGTGCTAATGTCGGCTATAGACGTTCCACTGCTTTCCATTTGCGAATGTCGAGTATGGCCTACCGGCCACCGAAAGCGCAGTGGTGCTGAGCTGAGCGTAGCTGAGTCAGCTTCTGAAACCGAACCAAATGTTTTCAATGGCAGGTCAGCCGCCAGAAGCAGAGCTGAGTTGAGCGGCATAGCAAGGGTCAGCTGAACTCTGTCAGCTGAGGTTCGGTTTTGGAAGCTGACTCCACACACCACACCTACTCACTACTGTCGCACAACCGTGGGGCTTTGTTCCTCAGCGTCATCCTTTTTTTCTGCTTGTTTTCAGGCTTAATATCTAAGACAGATATCTGTTATTTTTTTAAGGTTGAGAAAAAGCCTATTTTCTATAACATTTAATTTTTTGCTTCAATTTAAACAGATTCTAATGACCTATTTTATCAATCAACTTAAACATTCTTAAATAAAATCATCAGAAACAGTTTGGGTTGAATCTAAAAAACAAATATTGACTTGTTCTTCACTTCCTGAAAATGACAGATGTCCGTCTTCAATATGAAGCCACTCATATATTTATATATGACATAGGGCATAAAAACATATATTTATTTTAAATGAAAATTAGAAATACACATTGACAGTGACCTAGTTAAACTAAAATAATAGGTTAGTTTCCCGACCATTTTTTATCTATCTCATGTCGTGATTGAAGCTTGAATTTCTGGAAATCTCCCAGTATAGTCCTTCAGTTTATCTATCTTAATCTTACATGGTTGATCAATCAGAATGTCATTCTGATTGAATATGTTGGGTCTACTTAAGAATGAATGATTTATTGCTTATTAAGAACAACTTACAGCAAGGAATTGGTTGTTTAAAAATTCATTGTAATTATTTAAATACAAAGTAGTATTAAATTCCTTCTTATAAATTGAATACAATACATAAATACCTGACACCACTACAACCCATGAAGGGTCTTGGGTTCAGTACTATTTAGGGAAAGCACTGTTTCTTGGTTTACGGTTGTGCAAGGAGATGATTTGACAGAGATCACGCTCAACCGTCAGGTTTTTCCCCTTAATCAATTATTTTAATTAAGGGTACCCACTTTATAGAGGTTGTGTGTGCCCCAAGAGGCTCTACCTACCCAGGGTCGCCCCGCGGCCAATGAAACATAATAAAACATTTTTATTATTTGTATTATTTTTTATCAACATAAAATAAGGTGAACAAAATCACAGTCAGGACAAATTTTTAATTCCTTTAAAAATCTATATTATACATCACGCCTTATTGCCAATATGAAAGTCAGTAAAAACTTTTGTGTTCTGTGTTTGCCAATTTATAGAATGATTTCAAAATATAATATAAATAATATTATATATAAGATAATTAATATATTTTATTAAAGAGGAAAATATCTAGATCGAAAAGCAACTGCTGTCACCAAGATAAAATCAAACCACCACCTCCATAATGAATAAATAACCATTTTCCATACAAATTTTTGGTCTAAAATCTTTATTTTGTATGAAGAGAGAAAGAGGTTACAGGAGCTTAACTCATATGTAATTAAATGAATAGCTTTACAGTGAAGTGCTAATTATCGAATTAATTGGAGAGCTCCTGTAATCTCCTACTCTTCTAATACTGAAATAAAATAAAATATGAAAGTCACTAAAAACTTTTTTATATAATAGAGAGATTGATTTAACTTATTATAAACCTAATAAAATATTATAAATATTTTACTAGATTATTTTATTTGTTATTATAAGTTGTGTAATATTTTGATTCAACTCTACCTAACACACACTATACATTCCAAAATTTATTATATTGGAAATAATTGTAAAACATTTAATGTTAGTTAAAAAAGTTTTCTAATCTATTTTTCCAATGTACAGCTGTCGACAGGTGTCATCAGTCATCGTTGAGCGATGCAAGGGAGGCCTTCGTGAATGTAGTTGCCGACATGTTATCCGCGTTCCGGATCACCCAATCTGGAGTATCGCCTACCTCCCTCATCGCCCCGACTAGTCTCTCGCTTCTTCCACTCTATGTACTCGCTTTGCTCAAATATGTAAGTTAATTTTTTTTTTTTATGTATACTATAATATATCTTTATTTCTACTAATAATATAACTTCTGAAGATCACTTGATTCTGTAGCGATACTTCCAAAAGAAATAAAAAACAAAATTATGAGAATATTAATATATCAAACTGAACTTTGTAATTATTTTATCTCAAGTATGGGTTACTGTCAGACAGACTAAAATTATTTACACTAAACATTGTTTGATTTTAAAATAAAGTGAAGTATGAATTGGCAAGCTAACGTTTTTTCTATAAATACTGTTTTTTCCTTTGTGGCACTGAATTCATTTGTCTTCAAACACTTTCCTATCGTCTGCCAAACACACTTTCCAAAATGGTAACACTTTCATTTACACAACGCAAGCTCCCTGGAACATCCTCTCTCTTGCAGTTCCAAACAACTCGTGAGCTCAGTCAAACAATAACTGCTTGACCTAACAAAAATTCTTTGTTCCTCCCATCCTTGGAATTTTCCTTTTTGAGGAAAATACAGAGCAGCCATTTTCTTTTCCCTGAACTAGCGAAACTATTTTTCGAATTTAAGCATCCCCTGACATTAGCAGAACTAGATTAGCTTTCCTTTTAACTATTCAACATTAATTTACTAAACCATTTTTACCAACTTCTAATAAAGGTGCATATTACAATATATATGTACTTTTTTATACCTGTTATTTCTTGTAACTGTTCTCTCTTGTAACAGGTATACAAAAATTATTGATTAGAAGGATGGTTGAGGGGTTTCAGTCAATGAGAACATAACAAATTTTTATTTTATTTTGTGCCGACCTTTCGGTCTTAATTTTAGGGCTACACAAATACAATATAACGAATAAATACGGAGAAAATAGTAGACAATAATAATATTATATAGGTAAAATAATATGTAGGTAGTTAAATTTAACATTAATAAATATTTGGAATGGGAATTATATGATATGTAAATTTAGAGAGTTATAAAGTAATGGTAACAAAGCAAAAAACTTACAAAATAATGGTAACAAAGTTAGGAGCTTATGAAATACCAGAACAAACTTAAAAAGTTATAATGATGTAGAGATGGTTGACCGTTGATATAATATTGGTTAGAATACTATTCAACATTGATGGTTTCCAGAATTTGAGAAGCTGTAGAGTATCAGACCAAATAAAACCCACCAAACAGTAACCATCACCTATTTTTGATAAGTTGGGGACTTTGGAAAATTTTCTGCTTCTTTTACTTTATTGAGTCACTGTCACGAACATCTACTGTTATCGTAAAGTATCCACTTTTCATCACAGTATAAATAACTCTATTATTAAGCATAAATAACTCTATAAGAGAGTTATTTATACTTAATAATCCTTATTATTATTATTAATAATAACTTATCCATCCTAACGATATCACACTAATGCTATCCTTTTAATCTTATATAAATAACTCTATTATTAAGTATAAATAACTCTATAAGAGAGTTATTTATACTTAATAATATATCCTAACGATATCACACTAATGTTATCCTTTTAATCTTTCAATTTCTTCACTTCTTAACCTTTAGTCCCGTTATCTGTTTACTTACAATTAAAGGTAACCTCCACTTGCTTGTTATCCACTGATATCTTATTATTATGTTATCTTATTCTTATTTTAGCTTTACTTTATCAATACTTATTCAATTTACAATCTATTTATTCGTTAACATGCATTTTCTTTATATGTTAACCTACATTTATCAAATTTAATCTTTATTAGTTTATTATACATTCATTCCCTATCTTTTATAGCAATCTGTTTACCTTTAACTTACATGCTATATTCTCCTTTATTTTCTATTTTTATTCATACTTTTTTTTCCATTTTTGTTTGTATCTTCTACATATAATAATATATATTTTAACTACATTGTTACCCACTATATCTCTGATATAATCTTTTTATTTCTGTATCAGACAACTTATTCTTATTTTATAACTACTTATATTAATTTATTTTCACCATGTTTTGTATCTTTGTAGCCCTGAGGAAGACCTGCAAAGTGGGTTGAAACGTCAGCAAAAATTAAATAATTATACTTGTTTAATTTAGTATTAATTTGACCGCACCCCCCGATCAACTCCTTCTCAACTTAAAAAGTTATAACTTATATTTTAAAAAGATACAAGAGAAGTTGTTACTGTTACTTTATAACTCCCTAAATTTATGTGTCATATATTTCCCATTACACATATTTTTATTAATATTAACATTTAACTATCTATATATTATTTTACTATACTACTTTACTGGGCAGTCTTGATAATCCGAAAAAACCATTGTTATGAAGTTTGTGGTACACTTCTTTGCCGAAACACAAATGACCCTTTTCTGTCTAGAATTTTTACTTGTGATGAAAATTGGATACTTTACGATAACAGTAGACGTTCTGGACGGTGGCTTGACAAAGGAGAAGCAGCAGAACATTTTCCAAAGTCCCCAACTTATCAAAAATAGTTAATGGTTACGGTTTGGTGGCCTTCATTTGGTTTGATACTCTTTAGTTTCTTAAATCCTGTAAAAACATCAATGCCGAATCATATACTAACCAAATTAATGCAATGCATCAGAAATTAACAATACTGAAGCCATCTTTGGTCAGTCAGAAGGGGCCCATTTTGTTGCATGACAACGCCACATGTCTCACGTGTGACATCACTAAAACTGTTAGAGGTTGGATATGAAACTCTGTCACATCCACCATACTCTCCAGACCTTACGCCTACAGATTATCATTTTATTAGACACCTGGACCACTACTTACGTGACAAAAAATTTAATGGACAAAGGGAATTAGTAAATGTGTTTTTAGATTTTATCAATTCTAAAGATGGAAAATTCTATTCCGAAGGTATGGAAAAGTTGCCAACAGCACAATCTATTGATAGTAGTGGAAACTATTTTGATTAAATAAAGCAGTTGTAAATTTTTCTTTTTATATCAAAATCATGCATTATTTTCCGGACAACCGAATATTTATCTGTTCTTTGCATAACCTTGATGAAGACCTGAAACGTCACAAAGGAAATAATTATAATTTATTTATACTGTGTTCTTCCAATGACTGCAATCCCATTTTTAAATAATAGCTTGTTTATTAACATTTTTTTTATTTTTATTTTCAGATTGCTTTCCGTGTCGGCCAGAGCACGAGGCTGGATGATCGAGTCTTCGCTATGTGCCAAATGAAATCCCTCCCCCCTTCTCAGTTAATACAAGCCATATACCCTGATCTCTATCCAATTTTTAATATCAACGAATTGGTAATGATTTTTTTTTTTTTTATATATATATATATTTTATTAATCCTCATTTACTCTGTGATAGTTTTCTGTAGTGGAAGTTCTATCATGACAGCATGGCAGTATGGCTGTAACTTTGTCTGTACGCTAACAGTAAACCTGGTTACAGTCAGTTGATATAATGGTATACATAAAACATTTGACTGATTAATACACAATAAGAACAGCTGACTGAAAGATATACTTAAAGTACAGCTGATTTCATGATTATTTTAACAATGAAATAATACTAGTGTTCGCCCAGTGGTCGAAATTTGACCATAGCTATTAAAAAATTGAGGAAAAGATGTAATTAAATAAAAAATAAATTAAATAAATAAAGAGTAAATCACGATTAAAAAATCCTCAATTTGTTTATTAATACAAACAAAATTTCAATTTCAATTAAAAATCGAGCTTAAGTCATTTATAATTATTTATAAGTAATACAAAATAGACTCATTCAAAAATATTTAATTTTCATTTTGATTTATGTTTGTTATTATCTCAATAAATTAATGTTATGATTAAGCAAGTAAAAAATAAATTTAAATTCACTTTAAATCCATTTTTATTCAGAACTTCTATGTAAATAATGTTCTTTTTGAATGTTCTGTTATTGTTTAGTGCATAGCCATACCCATTGCCAATGAAAATATAAATTTCAATATTTTAAATGAACGTGCTCTAATTGCTGTCACATATAATTGTCCATGCAAAATTACTGGACGTCACAATAATACACACATTTTTCCAAAACTTTTATCCTGCGATTTGATTATGGTCATAGCAAATGCAGCTATTAATAGGAACGTTTTCCTTTGAAAATCGAATGTAAGTATAGTGTCAGAAAATGTTAAATTAATTCTTGAAATTAAAATTGTTTAATTTAAAGTAGTCCCCGTTAATACTTCAGTCTCATTCCTGTTCCATTAACTAATGCTTGTGCAGTATTTAAGTTAACAATGAGTATAACTACAGAATATATTTTTTAATTTAACTTATGAGGTATCATTCCACTAACATTACATGATATCATCTCTTCAAATAATAGACCCAATTACCTCAGTAAATGAGAAGTTTTCGATTTATCAAAAAACAAAATAAAGGAAATCAAGTTTGCAAAAGAAAAAGTACTAAATGTTCAGACTGATATATATATATATATATATATATATATATATATATATATATATATATATATCTGCAACAAATGGTCCGATTTCGATGATTTTTTATTTATTTTGTAGGAATTCAAGAAAGCTTTCAAATAAATATCGGTATTATCAATTAAAAAATGTGTAATTTTTGAGTTATTCGCAAATAAAATACTGAATTCATCATACAAATTTATGCAGCTTGTTTTCGGGAAAGTATGTTATATACATAAATTATAAATGTTTTAAGGGGAAGATTTTAGCCAAGTTTCATTAAAATCGTTGAAGCTGTATTGGCACTGCAGTCTTAAGCGAATGAGGTTTTTCAGGAAAGGCCTGTGATGATAATGAAACGTATAAAAAAAAACTTTTAAATATTATTGCGACGTTGTGTCAAAATTTAAAAGAAATCGGTGAAGAACTTTCGGAGATTAGCCGTTTTGAACAAACTACCATTTATATTTTTATTTACATATTATTTAATATTTTTATTTATTGATAACACTAAAGCTCGTCAATATCTATTAAACAAAAAAAGAATGAAGAAAATCGGTTGAATAATAGAGGAGTAAAAGGGGCTGAACCGATTTGTGTTTGCCTATTTATATAATGATGTTTTTTTTTCTTCCCCTATAAATAATTTTATATCTGAACTTAAAATAAAATGAATTCCAAACTCAGAAATAATCAAAACATAATATATAATTGTGGGTTGATGGTTCACTGTAGTGAATAATTGAAGAGGATAGTTGGGATGATCAGTCATAATAAATTATATATATAGTTTCCGCCACAATCACCATTTCATTTAATAAGGCATGGCAGATCACTGTCAAGGTATATACTTAAGCAGTTAACGTGATAGTAGCTGTAACGTCTGTAACAGATACTTGCTACCTGACTGTACTACCACAAAAGTAATTATATCATGTTGGCAACTATCTTAGAGTTAACATCTTGAATGCTTGTGAAAGTAAACTGTCACTGTGTAAATATGACTTTATTTATGTATTGCTACTTTATGAAAGTATTATGATATTATTTATTTTTTATGATATATTATTATTTTAAAATAAATGATAATATTTATTTTTACATATGCCGACGTTTCGACCTGAAGTTCAGGCCTTCATCAGGGCCAAGAAAATAACCAGATAATTCTTCTAATAAAAATAACCCAAATAAATAACCCAACTATTCTTCTCTTCACAATATATATAAAATAAATTAACAGACAATATAAAAAATTTGTTGAAAAAACAATGTATACTTCACACTGACTTCATACACAAATTCCTCTTCGTAAAGATTTAACTTAAAACAGACTACTGAATAAGAACTGATTGCAATCTAATTTTACCTGAAGAACTGATAACAAGCATACTCGCTATGAATTTATCTCAAACTTTACAAATTTTAGACTGTTTGATACATCAAATATTCTAGAACCTTATCAATTCAGTCTTCGTTGTTGTATATTAGTTATTTTTTAAATTTTCTATGCATAAAATAATTATAATAATTTTTATGTCATAAGATTTAGTAATCATTATTATTACTTGAAAATAACTAAATTTCAGTAAATACAACTTATAATATTATGTTTTATATATAAATGTCATTTTTATATGATCATCCAACCAAATGTTTACAATAAAATTGCATTATTCTTTCTTACAATGAGAAGTTCTTGTTTCACAGGTGAAGTTGGATATTATATTTTCCTTATTATTATTATTTTTACTTTTGCTTACCTGTATATGTAATATATGGTAAGGGAAAGTATTGAGATTGTGAAAAATTTCGAATCTCAGTTTTCAGCGGAAATACACATTTTGAGGTCCCCTGAGTCACATCCAAATATCCAAGTCCCGCAAAATGGTCTGTGTGTGCGAGCGAGCGCGTGCGCAACCTAGCTAAAAAATTCAGATTTTTTCCAAAAGATCCATTTTCCTCACAGTCATTAGTATTGTTTGATATTTTACTATACACAGTCCTAAAATGAAGTGGAAAGTGTATAAATTTAACCTATTCGATGGGCAGAAAAAAAACATAGTAATTAATTAATAATTGGTAAATGGTTGACTGTCGTGGATAATGAAGAGAAGAATAGTTGGGGTGGTCAGTCAAAAAGGAAGGCAAAAATAAATGATAATATTTATTTTTATTTTTACATATGCCTCTTGATAAATAAATAAATAAATAAATTTGGAGGAGGTTAATCCCCCTTTCTCAAAAAAAAAAATAAATAATAGTAAAATGAAGTACCACTCACCTACTCATAACATATTACCAATGGGGGCACTGAAAATTTTGGAAATATATTCACATTGTTATAACTAACAAAATTAGACCCGTAAAAATAAATATTATCATTTATTTTTGCCTTCTTTTTTGACTGACCATTCCAACTATTCTTCTCTTCATGGTAATTAATTGTCTTAATTTAAGTTATACCGATGTTTTCACTTTGACTTCCTATAAGAAAATACCTATCTACTCTAAATTGTATCATATTTTTTTTTATTTGTTACGTTTCTTTGAAGTTTTAGGAAATAGTCTTCCCATTATCAGAAATATGCAAAAAAAAGAAAATGTAATTTTTAAAAATTATTTATTCCTTAACATTATTTTATTATTATTTTCATTTACTGACATTTCAACCCTTAAGACCATTCATGAGGAGAAACAAATTTTTAAATTAAAATAATTGTTTTAAAGTCTTAACCAACTTTATTTAAATATGTATTGATCAATTTTTATTCTTTTTAAAGACACTGACTTGACTTCAAAGCATTAAATCTCAGCTATTACTAAGTTTATCTTAAAATGAATTTTAATGATAAAATAGTCTTAGAATCAAGTTTTGTTTTTATATTTAAAATAAATCATATTTGATAAATGAAAATTAATGTTGAAAGATATATTTTTTTTTTAAATATCAAAACATTTTATTTATTTTTATTTTTATAGCCTCTTGTTACAATTGGAGAAGACCAAGTGGTCCAGCCACCACTGCTTCACCTCTCTGCTGAAAGAATTGACTCGACCGGAGTTTACTTGATGGATGACGGTACTACCATTATAATCTATGTCGGCCACAACATTAGTCCATCAATAGCTGTGTCGTTCTTCGGGGTCCCATCGTTTTCAGCCATTAATTCAAATATGGTAAGTCAATTTCATCTCAACAACTAAATAGACAGTGCTAATCGAGGCTACAATAATTCTTCATATTTTACTGTTGCTATTTTTATTTATGACTAAATACACTTATCTATATACATATATTCAATTTAATTCTATTAATCTTCAAATTTTTGTAAATTATATAATTAGTTCTAGTTAGTGTTGTAAAAAAGCTCTTTGAGAAGGCTATAAGGCTTGAGCCGAATAGGCTCGAGCTTTCCTGACTCGGTCAAGACTTGAGTCCTAAGAGCTCGCCAGTTAAAGGCTCGAGTCGCGGCTTGAATCTTACTTGTTTTTTACCATATGTTTGTTAATAGACTTTTTAGATTTTTTTACAATTTTTATAATAGAGCAAACTGTTCTATATGATGTTTAGTAATATTGCATTTTTGACGGTTCCTTGAATTATAGTTTTATCTAATTCATAGTTTGGTTTGTTGTTGTTCTGCACCTATTGTTTCCCCCCTTGTTATTGAGATTCCTCCCTCCCAAAAAAAGTTAGGGTAGGTTAAACATATTGCCAATATACCATTCTTTAAAAAAAAATTCAGAGGGAGGAAGGGAATGAAAGGGGGAGTAATTCACACCCACCAAAAAAATAAAATTAAAGTTGAAAAAGTATCACCCACTTACCCAAATATATTGCCATTTTATCTTTTAAAATAATTCAGAGGGAGGGATTAATCGTCCCTCCCAAAAAAAAAGTTAAACAAAGTAACATCCACCAAGCCAATCACATTGCTATTTCATCTTTAAAACAAAATTAGGGCGGGGAGGGAGGTTAATCCCCCTTTCTCAAAAAAAAAAAAAAATAGTAAAATGAATTATTACTCACCTACTCATAACATATTACTAAGAGGGGCACTGAAAATTTCGGAAATATATTCATATTGTTACAACTAACAAAAAATATATACTTGTTTACCAAATGGTACAATAATTTAATTTTTTTTTTTTTAATTGAATTCATCAAGGCTAGAACTCTATGAGCCTTCAACTTAGCTTTGGAGGTTCAAGACTTAAAGGCTCTAGAGCCGAGACTTCACGACTCGAGTGGAAGCTCGAGGCTTGTTTTTACAACACTAGTTCTAGTGCTAGATTAATAAATATCGTGTAAAAACACATGCGGCTTCCAGGGGCACCACTACATCATGAGCGCCACGTGCAGCCTAGAGGCCATAAATTTCCCACCTATGGAAATATATTATAAGTATAAACTAAATTTTTATACTGTAAAAAATCATTAAATAAATGCCTTTAAATAAAATTACAACCCATGAAGGGTCTTGGGATCATTACTTTGTAAGAAGTACTGTTCCAAGGTCAATGGTTGTACAAGAAGATAGTAACGACTTTCTTTTTTTGTTCTCCCCTAACTCGCCTTCTAGGCTATACCAGGTTTTCTCGGGACAGAGGGTGAGGGCAAGTGATGAATACCAGAATTAAAAACCGCACCAGGATGCTGACTCTGTTAGGTAACTTCACTGATATGTCTCAACCCAAAGTTGAAGTTGTCTGCACAGGCAGTTATGCACCGAACTCCATACCGAACATACCCCTAATGAAGACCTACATGATTGGGCTTAAAATAAAATATTTTTCATTATTTTAAGTTTTTTATGACTCACTCCGGACAATCTCTTTCCTCTATAAAAAAAATATTGTAACATCCCTCTTATATTTGACAAATAATAATAATAATATTATAAACTCGGAAGCTCACTTCTTACCATTGGGATACTTCCTAAATAAATAAGAGGTTGTTTAATAATAAACAAAATTATAAGAGTATTAATATATTTATTTATCTCAGGTGTGGGTTACTGACAATCAGATCAACTCAGACAAACTATTATTATTTACACTATTTAGACTAAAATTAAACACTGATTTTAAAATAAAGTCAAATCTGGATTGGCAAGCTAACCTTTTTTTCTATAGATACTATTTCTTCCTCTGTTGCCCTAAATTCATTTGTCTTCAAATGCTTTCCAATCTTCTGCCAAAACACAACTTCCAAGATGGTAATACTATTACTGGGTTTTACCCACTGATGCCAGAATAGGATATCTTCTCTTAACCTCTCTTCACTGCAGCCAAACACCAACTGTTTGCCAAAACAAAAACCTTTGTTCCTCTCCTCTTTGGGCTTTTCCTAGTTGGGAAACTACAGAGCAGCCATTTTCTTTTTCCTGCACTAGTAGAACTAGATTAGCTTGCCTTTAATTGTTCAACATTAATTTATTAAATCATTTTTAACCATTTCCAATGAAGATGTATATTACAATATCTTTAGTTGATCTTGTATTTTATTTAATTAATATTTATTTCATTTTCTTATGTTTAGTTTGAACTGCCCGAACTGAACACACCTGAATCCAAGAAACTAAGAGGGTTCATCAGTTACTTACAGAACGAGAAGCCAGTAGCTCCGACTGTACTCATCATCAGGTAAATTATAATTTTAATACTGTTCAGCTTATAATACCAAATTTAACATATAAATAAGATCATAGATAAGCTTACTGTTATTTTCTAAAAAAAGAAAACTAACAAGGAATGTCATTGGTATATTAGATTTGATATCGAATTGTTCATAATAAAGGTTCTCCCAATGTTCAACCCCAAATCATTGCCTACTGCCCATGCGTTGATATCGTCTACCACATCTTGTAGCCTTCGGGTCACCTCAAGCATCTATGTAGGATGAAAGAACTTAATGATAGAACTTAGGGTAAACCCCCCCTCTCCTCCCCAGCGTTCGGTACATTTAAGGAATCTTTAAAATGTGTTTGTCCAGTTTTCAATAGCATGAGTTCTTGGTTCAACAATTTCAGTTCTGTTAAGTCAGTAAAGATCTCTAATTTCAAAATATATATGTGAAACAGTGTCTTTCCTTTTGGTTTATTATTTTCAATAATGAACCATTGTGATCGAACAAAAAATTCGAAAACTTAACCTTGAAATTTGGATTTAAAATTAGTGGTAATCCGAGGATGATCCTCCTTCATCGACATTTCTATCCCCTTTTTCCTTTCTAGATGGCGACTGAAAGAAAAACATGCGTTGCTATAGACTGTAGCGCCTAAACGAATGTACTGATTTCAATGAAACTTCGCTTAAGTCTTCTTCCCAATGCCGTTTTAATTTATCTATATAACATACTTCAACGAAAAGAAGCTGGAAAAAAAGTTATGAGAGATAGTAAAATTAGATTCCGAATAACTCAAAAAGTATACACTTTGTTGTCGATATTGTATATGGTTATTTAAAAGTTTATTGAATTTCCTAAAAAACAAAAAAAAATTCGTTAAAATCGAACAATTAGGAACAAAGATATGATCTCTAGATTTTTTTAATATGTTATACTGCAAAGGTTATATCCTTTGTTTTGGTTTTTGATTTTTGAATGTGTCACTGAAGTAATGCTAATTTTTTTAGCATGTTACTAATGATTAAAAAAAATTTTTTTTAGTCCAATTATTGGAATCACCTTTTATTTCTTTTTCTTTGTAACTAGGAAGGTAATGTTACTTTAGATGTATAATTGTTTGGAAATAATAAACCATTGTGAAATAATTTGCAGGATTTTTTTTTTATTGTAAAATTGAAAAATATCCTGTCTGTATGTGCCAGTTTTCTGCACCCTGGAATACCAGTTTTGGTACCCCTTACCCAATTTTCAAAACCTAAAGAATTAAATCTGTCAGCCTTATGAATGAAAGAACTACAATGATATTGTGCAGGAATGTGTGTTTCTTGCCAAAAACGTGATATCTGTCGGGTTTATAATCTTCAACAATTTTTTTCGACATATAAAAATAAATAAATAGTGGGAGATGCGAGAACAGGAAGGATTCCCACTTCAAATGAGCGCCTTTCACCAGCTCTAGACCGTTCCCAACTCTTACATGAATATCTTACAAGAATATCTTCCATATCTGCAATTGGGTGCTGGCGGTTTTATCCTACCTATAAAAATATATATATATATTCATACTTCTATTTTCATAAATCTCTAATATATTTTTTATTTTGAATAGGGATGATAGCCAGCAGAGACATTTATTCGTCGAAAAGCTAATAGAAGACAAAACAGAATCTGGTCATTCTTATTATGAATTTCTGCAGAGGGTGAAAGTCCTCGTGAAGTAACAAACGGCCGAGATCTCCTCGAGCAGTACCAACCTACCAAAGACTATGTCGTGTGTTGACGGGGCATGGCAGCACATCTTATGTCCATTATAGATTTCTAACTTTTTTATATTTTCTGCTTCTTATTCATCGTAATGAGAAGTTTTAATCGATGTTACATCAACTACAAAACTTTTATCCTGTATAACACATCATTTTATATAGTATTATATATATAATATATATATATATATTTATATATGTTTAAAAATAACTTTGTAAATGTTTATATAAAAAAAAAATAAGCGGCGAATGGGACTGCGTATTATGACTAATATGTACATAAATAAATAGGAAGAATGAATTATTGTATTGTAAATGTACTATTATTGTAAAATATATTTTGCGGTGTTGTTAGCACTCACCATTCCTTGGACCGAGGCAAGAAGGGAACATTGCCGATGGGGTGCCTTATAGGTACGATTGACACATTATATAAACTGTTAATTTATCAGTCATAATTAAATTTATAAAAAATAAAATAAAGTGTTTAGCTAAAATTAATTTGAAGAGTAAATAAAAGGCCGAATACTGCCTGATATAGATAGAAATGAAAAAAACAAAACATTGAAATATGTGTAAAGATTTTTTACAAGCGTCATTTTTATGAATTTAGCTGTGATGCTTTTATCGTGCACTTCTTCATTGTATGTGGGCATCGTAGAATGTTAAGCAGTTGGCTTATTATTGTTTTGTCATTTGTTAATTTTATTATTTTTAATTATCATTGGGATTGAAATGTACATAATGTTATAATTTGAAAACTTGCCCATATTACATATTAATTTATTATAAAAGATATATATATATATTTATAGATATATGTGCATGTTTATGTGTGTATACATTATGTTTTTGTATACGTTCGCAAACATATTTTGAAGATATAGAAAGTTGTTAAAACCTTATTGGTTTTTTATTTATCTTACAAACACAAATAAATAGAAAATAAATTTGTAGTTGGATGTTTGTAAGAGTCGTAACTCTCTATTTCTCTCAATTATATAATAGACTCTTTAAAAAAAGATTGTAAATTTTTATTGTTTAATGTACGATACAAATTGTTATGATATTATAGGTTTTTTAGTTAAAGGGTTGAAATGAAAATGCAATTTATGTAGAAAATATACAATATAAAATGATGTATTTAAATTTGTATATGATGTATTTGATTTTATTGAACCTGGAATATTTTGATAAACACTGAGCCGTGAGAACGTGTCACACCAGATTTTGTGTTACGAGAGCTGGTCAAGAGACTACAGATGGTAGCCACACAACTTATTATTTTTAATATCATTAATTAATTATTAATATTATTATTAGTTATATAAAATTTAATTATCAATATTATTATTAATAATATAAAATATAATTAATTAATTAATAATAACTTCTTCAGGTATTTTGGTTAGTATGCATCTGAATGACCATGGTCTAACCTGCTAAAGTTTAATTAGCGATTGTAGTATGAAACTTACTGGTTCACATCTTGATTTTAATGTTTAATTCCTTATTACTTTCCTACCTATACTAGGTAAGGAAAGTATTGCAATCGGGTCAAATTTCCGATATGCGGTTTTCGACGGATCTAAACGTTTCAGAGCCCCTGAGTCCGAAAAACACATTTTTAGCCATTGGTCTGTCTGTCTGTGCCAAGATTTTCTCGGGAACTACTGAATCGATTTTGTTGCTTCTTTTTTTATTTTGTTGGGTTTTGACTACTGATGCCTGTGACAGAAATTCGGTGCTCCATGCGCAATAGCTTGCGCCCAATAAATGAAAAACATGTTTTTCTATAGACTGTAGTGCGAAAATGGCTCAACGATTTTGATGAAACTTTCCTATAATTTTCTAATAATTGTACTTTAAATTTTCGTATATGGACTAAATTCCCGAGAAAATCAGGAAAAAAAGTTATAAAGAAAAGAAAAATTTTATGGGCCCCAACTCCCTAAATATATATTATACGGTAAAATTTATAATAAAACTTTTGAAAGGTAATTAAATTACCAACAAAACAAAAAAAAAATCATGGGAATCCACCACTATTAGCGATGATACAGCTTATTCTATTTTTTATACATGTTTTAACTTATTACTTTCCTACCTATCTTGGTAAGGAAAGTATAGCAATCGGGTCAAATTTCTGATATGCGGTTTTCGACGGATCTATACGTTTCAGAGCTCCCCGAGTCCAAAAACACATTTTTAGCCATTGGTCTGTCTGTCTGTGTCCACTATATAAAAAGCGTTCATTTTAGGCAACTATTAACGAAGTTGCAGCTATTCAATTTCCAATGTAAGTTTACGGGTTCATATCCTGGTGTCAGAAAGGGGTGAATGAGAGAAAAAAGATGTCTAAGTGAAAGTAAGAAAATCTGTTGCCCACATCGCACAAGCTTCATTATTTCCTCTACTTTTAACAGAAATTATTGTTTGACAATACTAAGCTATGCCAAAAAGTTTTTGATCAGCAATATTAGTGAGTATTGAAATTTTTACACTGATCTACCTTAAGCTGGTTTCATTGCCTTAATTTATCAAATCTTTTGTTTGATCAATTTTCAGGAATATAAATCTAGTTCATTTTTTTTTTTTGTTTCTTCATGAACATATGTAAAGATATAAAAACTTTTCTAAAATAGGTAGGAAAGTCGTGTGGGTGGACACACCAGATATTTTTTTTTTAATAATTGAATACTGATTACAGTAGGTTAAGACTTAACATTTTATTGGGGGAAGGGAGAGAAATGAAACAATAAAAAAAGCTGGGAATTTTAGATTATAAGTAAAAAGATAATTGTATAAAATCAATGTAGTTATTGAGGAACGAATATAATGCTGCATTTTAAAAATATATTTATTTACATGTTCATGTATATGTATATATATATTTTTTTTTTGTGTTATGATATATTTGAAAATATGTGAATGAAACTAATTATTACATATTTTTATTTTTTAAACTTGGGTAAAGGATTTTTCCTCCATAATATAGGTACATTTCCGAAACTTTTTCAGCTAAAAATGTATAATTTAGAAAACTTTTATGAACAATTTAAAAATATTTATGGTGCCTTAGTCTCTACAACCTGAATATAAATTTAAATAAAAATGAAAATTTAAGTGATATGAATATTTAGGTTGTTCTAAAATACTTAATTTGCTATAGTACGTGGTACATACCTAGTTTTATCAAATTATTAACATCTGCCAAAAACATCCTGAATATCTTCATTTCATTGTAACCTACAACGTTTTATTTGAAAATTCTTCAAATTTGGGTGTTTTCAATCTGGTGATTTGCAAACTTTCTCTATTTAATTAGGTACTAAAAACTCATTGCTTTCCACTTGAATCATAAAATAATTTGATCACAAAATCGAAAAAATATTGGTCTATTTGGCGTAACCTCCACCTCCAACATGTCAAAATAACAAGGTTATATAGCCCAAACGTTCTAATATTTTTGTAGTCTGCTTTTTTTTTTTTTCCAATTTTTTGTGATCAAATTATCTTACGATTGAAGTGGAAAGCAAACGTATATTTATGAGTTTTTAGTACCTCTTTCAATTAATTAATTTAATGTGAAAACTCCCAATTTCTGTGAATCTTCGTGGATGAAAATTTGTAGTTTACGATAAGATGAAAGCATTCATAAAATTTTAGATTGATGTTAATAATTTGATTAAAAGAGGTCTGTACCACAGCCTATTACTTCTAGGCCTTAGGCAGCTAGTCGACTTTTCCTATTTTCTTTATTGATTTTAGTTTACATATTTTTTTTATTCATATAGATTATTTGTAGATTTTAATTTTTTACTTCGAATTATTGGGAGTGAAATTTCTTGCCCCCTCTTTTTTTTATTCAAAGGGATTGTCCCCTCCCCTTGAAATTTGCACTTAAACTAGTCATTACTCAAAATGTGGTAACTCTATAAATGTATGTAAAAATGTGTCAATCAAATCTTTCGTAATTATACATTAGATAAACCTTCCACAATTTTCTTTTACTTTCCATTTTTTATAAAAACATAAGTAATGAACATAACTCCATGATTAACTTTCATAAGCATTTATGAAATGAGCACATGTTAACAGACTTCATTGTTAAAATCAAAAATGTTAGTGGCCACATCCAGCACATAGACATAGAATAGCAAACAAACCATAAATATAGTGAACTAGTAGGCCCGTGCAAAAAATTTGCACAGCATATTGTTAAGTGATCAAATGCCAAATTAATAAGAAAATAAAATAATGCCACGTATCAAAAGATAAAGAAATCAGTTGTTACTTTATCGATAAATATAATCGATAAAGGAAACAAAAATTAATTTAAAATTTCATTGATGTTTAGAACCAACATGTTTACAAATTTCAATAAGCTCTATCTTGGCTAAAAATTGTCTGATTTCGATGATTTTTTTTTTTCCTTTTGTAGGGAATTTAATAATCTTTTATATAATGATGGGCATAACCAAGGGAAAAGTGTGTAATTTTTCAGTTATTCACAAATAAAGTTTATTCTCTTTCATAACTTGTTTGCCTGAATTTTCAGGGTGATTGGATTATTTTGCCCGCCTGAAGGAGAAGAAAGCTTTGGAAATTCGTGGCTCAATATTGAGATTTGGTGAAGAATTATGGCTTGCCAATCAAAAACACCATTGATAAATAATATGAACTCCTCTCTCGATCATAGAGGCCTCAAGTCGATGAAATGAGACATGTATTCAATGACAGTACTACAATTAACATAAGGTTGTGTGGATATGAACCCTATGCCTTGCGTTATCTTGAAAATAATACGTTTTTGGGCTTAAAAATGCAGGACACCGTATTGATCTATAGACTTACTACCGTTCCAGTATTGAAGCCTAGCAAAATGTTTGTTTCAACTTTATTTATTTTAGAAAGAAAAACAAAAGTGGAGAAAAACGAACGGTTCGCTAACTCCCCCTCTCCCCCCCCCCCATGAAATTCTGAATCCAACAGTACCCCATTCATGATATTTCACCATGACAGGAGCTTATATTTATTACAAAACCGATTTCGAGCCTTATTGTAATGATATATGTGGGGATGTATCTTGTAAGTTTTTTTTTAAACCAGTCTTTATTATATTCTGTTTCAGAATTTTCTGACATTACAGATTATTTCCTTCTAAACTATGTCTCAAACCACAGGAAAGTAGAATATAAATTTGTATTTCCTTTCCAAAATTGAAGCTGATTTTCCAATTTATTTGCAATTGATTCTTTCTTCAGTGCTTTCTTCGCTTCTCTACCCAACTCCCAAAAAAGAATATTAATTTATCATGTCCTGTTTTGTTGGTATTTTAAATTTTATAGACTTTTAACTCTAGTGTTAATCTCCTGGCCTCTCTCCTAGTCCGGGAAAACCCTGTATTGCCAAAAAGTTGAGAAAAAAATAACGTTCTTAATGGCCAAACTTTGGAGAGTAATTCTAGACAAAATTTCCTACAAAAAAGTTAATTTGATTGATGTGACTATTTTTAGAAAAACACAAAATTGATCTTAAATCCTTTTTCATTCGAAACGGCCCATATGTACATTTCAAATGAACTTTTTTGTTGGAAATTTTGTCTAGAATCATCCCGCAAAGTTTGATCATTAAGAACTAAGCCACCGTGTTTGTATATATTTTAGCTTATATGTTTTGAAATAAATATCATCATCTGGTAACATTTATTCATTTTATTGAATGAATTAAGGTCAAAATAAAAAATTGTAAAAAAAAATATACATATTTTTTTAAAGCTACAAAACTATTTCATTTGAAATGTGTCCCCGTCCCCTTTACCACTACCTAGTTCTGGCCCAGATTTTGGATATATAAATTCGAATAAAACCTTTAATTGAAATGTCCAATGGGAAAAAGTTCTAGTTTCAAAAAAACAGAAAAACAATTTAAATTAAACATTCCAGTGTTATCGGTGGCACTGATTAAAAATAAAAGTCAACTTTTCATTTCGAGCCCTAATGGAAATTAAAAGTGAATTGATTTTATTATTTCATTATCATAAAGGAATGATAAAATTTTATGTTATCTGGTAATATTTTTTTTTTTATTTCTCGAATTTATCAAGCTTAACAAAAAAAATAATATAAAAAGATTGATTTTGAAATCATAGTGGGAATGGAAAATTTGTAAATGATTATAAGGGTTCATTTTAGAAATAAATGTCTGAATTAATACTTCTGAACAATGGTTCTTTTTTTTAAATAATATATATATTATTTATTAAAGGTGTTTCTTTGTCGGTATGCTATATCTTCATTAATTATTCATCAAATCCAATAGTTGAGCCCTCATTTTGAAGATTTTCTTCTCCTTCATGTGGGAAATATAGTCGCATCCTTCTTGTTCCGAAATTTCAGGAAAAAATAGAAAATTTATTTGAAAATAACTAAAAAAACTATACATTTTATTGTTTATTGCATGAATGATTATTTGAAATATTATTCAATTTCCTAAAAAAAACATCGAATTCAGACCATTATTAGCAAAGATACAGCTTGTTATTTGTGGCATTGTAACATGAAGTTTTAAAATAATTTTCTTTTTCTTAGTTGATTAAAATTACAGAGAACTTAACAATTGATTCAGAGGTGCCCAGTAAAGGGTTTCATGGCACAAGTTACGCTATCAAAATGTTTGAAGGTGACATATTTTGACTGAGTTTTTGAGTTTTATGAATGTAAAGTTTTATACTAAGAGACAAGGTGAAAACATAGAATATACCGCCGCAAGTGTAATTGTATATGAACACTAATTTTTCTAATTTTACTTTCACTTGCTCTGTTTTTAAGAAACGGTGGGCAATAAAATATCTTGAAAGTGGGACGATAGATTCTTGCACCATCGACCTTGAGGCGGATGGGCACTCCTTAATTGATTCTTTCATATTATGATACATTGCATTATTTTATTTGCTTATTATTTTGTCATCTTTTCACTGATTAATGTACTATGCGAAGTAGGCTAACAACTTTTTTTTTATAAGATGAAATTAGAAGCTTCAAATTAACTATCGGTTTACAATTTATAGATAAATGAAATGTTGTTTAGACAGATTTCTATTATTCTTTTATAAGAAAATTAAACAGATAAGTATTCCAGAGGTATTGTTTAATGGTTATATGATTAATATTTTTAAAATTGAGAAACAAATAAATAAATTAAGGTAATTGGAGCAATCAAATGATACAATGTCGCCGTAGTTTTGGAAGAAAAACTTCTATGGAAGAACATTTGTGATGTTGGCAACTCTGTAGCACCAGATAATAATTTTGATCTTAAATGCAGCATTATTATCAATACCTAAGAAATAAAATTGTTTCAATAAACCAATAAAATTAACATGCAGAAAAAAATTGTTTATTTAAAATTGGTTTTAAATTAATAAAACTGAAATCATGAAACTTTAGGATTACAGGAAAGTTCTGTGTTTAAATAGATATTTATTATTTCATAATTAATAAATCTTTGATTGCTAAATGACTAGTTTAAGCTTTTCCTTGCATTGTTTTCACCAGCTGCATTGTTAAATTTCGTGCCTGCAAGAAAAAAAAAAATGTAAATTGAATTATATTTTTTATAACTTGAATTTTTCATCTCATAGATGTCATAATGGCGGAGTTATATATATAAAAAATTTTGTTGTTTAAAAATAAATGGCAGTAAATCCATTGACGTAAGTTTCTCTCCTAGGGAAGTCTTATAACTATTTGTAATAACTTAGTACCTTAAAAAAACTATGTACAGTACTTCAGACTCTCCTTAGACCAAAAACTTTGAACATACATACAAAATTAAAAAGAGAACTAGACAATATAACCAACTCACATCTTATAGACTACAGATGCTCGCTTAACTTATGAAACAAGTGACTGATCTACAACACTATACTGTGACCAATTTGGACATACGGAGGAGAACTTAGGGATTCGGCAAAACAAACACACATAAACAAAATGCAAACAACAATAAAAAATCTTATGTAAAATTGTTAACAGACCTTGGTATATTTGAAATAACACTATACATAATGACTTTAACGTTCCTGCAGTTACATCCTATACCCAAGAATAATACACTATATTTCATCCTTCAATTCAAAATCACTTCAATCCACTAGTTAATTTCCTCCTCCCTGTTACCTGCTCGATACTGATTTTTAAAAAATGGCCAAGAGACCTACTCCTACAATAACGACAAAATTAACACAAATCAAGTCAATTGGCAGCAAATAATCAGTTCATAAAATTTGCTAGATGCGCTACTGTGTAGGTGAAATAGCGTAGAATATTAAAATAAAAATATTAATTTAAGTTCTTGCTCTCTTTTAATATATTTTTTCTTTAATTCTGACTCATTGTTATATCTATATAAATCTCTTCTATGTTCTAAGTAAATTAAAAGTTCTTACTGAAATATTGAAAATAAAAATTATAAATATTGATAAAAAATTAATTTTTTAACTTACTTTCTCTGAGTTAGTCATAACACATTTCACCTTGTTGAAACCAGCCTCACAGTTTGTTCCTTCGGCTAAAGTAAAATAAAAAAACATTTATTATAAACTTTTATTAAAAAAAAAATAAAATATATTAATGTTTGAAATAAACAGAGCAACTTATAATAACTTGTTATTTTAGCAGGATTATATATTTGAGTAGATTAAGATCTCCTATTTTAGATGTGGATAAAAAGGAGGATGCAGAGGTGAGGAATATAGGATTTTTTTTTGTTTCTCAAGAATTGGATTAAGAAAATATCAAGAAGGGTTTGACATTGGAAACTTCTATGTAGCCAGCCAGTCTTGGTCGGAGAAATACCAGTGAGGGATGTGAGACCATCTGTTTAAGAACATTCAAAATTTATCTTATGGAACAATTGATTCCTTGAAAACACTTTGTATGATACAAATAAATACCCTTGAAAAATAGTCTTTGATTAGTAATTACACATATAGAAATTGATTAATATTTTTAATTTTAAGGCTTGGTTGTGAGAAAGTGAATTATGTTGAAAGAGTGGAATATGTGTTGTTTTTTAAATGTGCAGTGGATTGGTGTTTTCTATTGAACTGAAATCAGCTGGTATTTATTTATTTTGAGGACATGATGGCAGAGCATATTAAGGTGTCTGCGTTAACATTCTTGTGTCTAGCAATGCTGGTTCGAATCCGTCCTAGAAGGGTTGAATTTTTACGGGCTCAGAGAATGGATCTTGACCTTTCCATTCTGATCAGAATATGTTACATCTAGAACAACCATCCTGGTATACCAGAAATGGTGAGGGAGGAGTAAGTAGAAAGAAATAACATTATGTAATTAACAACTTACGATTTTTACATATTTCATAAACTCTTAATGCTTCTTCTTTATAACCTGGTGTTTTTAAGTCGTTTATGATTTTTAAACTTTCATCTTCCTTGAATTTTCCATCTTCTGACATCTATAAATTTAATTTGAATTTTTTTACTGTTGTTTTAGAAAAAAAATATTCACATAAATATATTTAAAATCATTTCTTTAACATACCACATTCATCTTCTTCGAAACACATGATATCATACACTATAATAGAAAAGAAATATATGAATTAATTAAAAATTGTTGTTTTAGGAATAGTTATAGATATTGTCAAATTTAGAACTATTATAAATAATATCATTATACTTGTTACTTATACAAAATAAAATCTCTAAAACTTTAACCAAAGTAATTTTATGTACTGGATATGAAAAAAATGCATTTTTTTTTTTTTTAAATTCATAGAATTTTTATTAGAACAGCATACTCGTTAATCCGTAGGACAATCAATAAACTTATATATAAATATACAGAAGTGTTTAGTTTATATGATATATATAATTTTTTTTCCCTTTCATTGTTCATGTTTTCTGTTTCCTTTTTTTTTTACCATTTAATTTCCCTCTCTTTATATCTCCCTATACACCTCTCCTATACACAATATTAAGATGCTTAAAATTATAATAGAACAATAACAAAAAACAAAAGTGTATACATCTAGATTTAAATAAAAATTAATATGAAACAAATATAATAGCCATTTTTCATTAAATAAATAAATTCATTAATTTCATTAAATAAATTAGAAAGTCCTCAATTTATTTGTCATTTGTTTGTCATTCTTTAATATTGTTATGTTTACTTGAATTTACTTTACCTTTGTTTCATAAAATGTGAACAAAATTTGTTTTGTTTTAATTCAATAACAAGTATCTTATTTTAATAAGATACAAATTTATAAATTTATTAGTAAAACAAAAAATTCAAAATATTTGTAGGAAGTGTAGTTATATTTTTTTAACTGTCCCAATATTAAAAATTAAATTAATGAAGTGAAATTTCTAACTTTGTCCCCATAATAATATTTTTTAGAATCTTTTACCTTAAAGAATATATGCTATTAAAGAGCTGAGTACATTTTTATTTTGTCTAGACATGAAAAAAAAAAAAAAATAGATTTAAGTAGCAAGTGAAGTGATACATGATAATTTAGATTAAAGTATGTCTTAAAATAATCATTATAATATAATTACATAATGATTTGATAATGGGGTATAAATACCCAAAGCATCATCTTAATAAAAACAATCAAATAAATAAAATGCCTAGAATTTAATGGATCAAATAAAATGTAATATCATTAAGTTGATTAAAACAATTGGATCAAGAAAGAAATATAAACATTGAAAAATCTAAAAATAGAAGAAAGACATAAATTATAAATATTTTCTAAGTTTTGGCATTTTATACATGTATGAAGAAATATCTATTTTAATTAAATTAATGGTAATTATATTTCATTTTTATTTTTATAAAATAATTTTTAAAGTTGGACTGAATTTGTAAAGGATTTTACTATAGCTTTTATTTGACTTAAAAGCATAGCACTTTATAGGAAAAAGGGAGGACAAGAAAGGAAGTTTAGAAATAAAAAAAATGCTATAAGAAAAAGGAAGAAGAAAAAAATACAGCTGTTTCCTAAATGGCCATATGGCTGGAAGAACTGTATGTCTGGCTCTAGGATATTATTTACTAAATAATTAAAAAATGCCTTTTATTTATTTAAAGATGCAAAAATAATATACGTATGTAAAGAAACCTATATTGGTTATTGAAACTTAAAGTTCTAAATATACTATAAATTATTTGAGAAAAACTTACTTTGCATGGATTGTATTTAGGATCATCATGCTTGGCATCTGCTTCAAACATTTCTGAACAAAGGTCTGCAAAGAAATTATTAAAAAAAAAATCAATGAAATTGTAAAAAATGTATTAATTACTAGAATAACACAATGGTCTAAATTTGACCAGAATCGCATTTTAAATTAATTTTTTAGATTTATCAGACAATGAAGAGAAATCAAAGGTTTCATGGACAAATTTTCTTGGTCACTAGTCAATATTTACTATTCTGATGAAGAGAATCATAATTATATATAATTATCATTATCATCATAATAGTTGGGGAGGTCACTCATAAATAAAAAGGCAAAAATAAATAATAATATTTATTTTGACGTTTGCCTTCTTATTTTTGACTGCCCACCTCAACTATTCTTCTCTTCATTATTCACGACAGTCAACCATTAACCCACAATTTATATGTATATATGTAAAAATATTAGGTAAAGATATTAAGTACTTCAAAGATATTAGGTAATTATTACGTAATATTTGTTGTGTCTTGTTTAAATAAATTTACCAGGTAAAAAATAAAACCTTGTCGACCAGGCAAAAATAAAACCTTTCGAACCTTGAGCCCAAGGGATATAGCATCGGTTTCCCATAGAGTCAATAATTCTGATCAGTGCAATATCAGTATTAAAAAAAAATTTTTTTTGTTAAGAACTTTGCACAAAAAACATTAAGAAAAGTCCTATAAGTGGAGGGAGACATTGTATACGTAATCATTCATACAAATTTATAATTTTTGAGTTATCCAGAAAAAAATAGAATAGATTAGAAAATAATTTTACTCTGGGACGAAGTCCCTTCAGAATAACAAAAAAGTACAAAATTAAAATGTTATATCTGGCCAAATAAAAGCAAACAAAAAAAGTAAAGATAAAGATAAATCTATAAATAAAGTAAAAAAATATTAGTTATACATACTATATACAAAATTATATAAAAAAAAATCTATATAAAAAACTCTTGGAACCTTACCAAGACACTTAAAACTATGTAAAATGGTAAAATATAAATATACACTTTTAGAAAAAATAAAAAATACAGAAAAAAATAAATGTAAATTCTGCTTATCAGTAAACTCTGTGTTTCTGTTGAAAAAAAAAAGAAAGTCGAATCTATAATAAGTATTTAAGTTATGAGCTATGTGTGAATACATTATTATGGATAATATGTAATTTTACATAAAAGGTTAGCTGGTATCTGACTGTTTTTGGGACAGGAATTGGAATAGGAGGGTTTTGAATGTAGACAGGGATGAAGAATGCCGAATTTTGATAGGAAAGAAATTCCAAAAATTAACAGAGCGAGCAATGATGGTTTTCTTTAAAACCGTTTTTTCCTGTTATTTTACACATGGTAATCAATTTGCTAGACTCTAATTAGGGACCGAAATCCTTCCAAAAAAATCAGTCTGCCTGCTGAAGAGATAATCATCACACTGACATATGGATTTTATTAGCCTCAATAGCAAAATATTTGTAAATTCTTATTTTTCTGCAGTTCTTAACAATATCTCTTTCTACCTACTTAAGATATAATCAGAATAATTGATAGAACAAAAAAATTGCTTTACTATTAATATATAGATCAATAAATCAATAGTTAAAATAAATTTTGATTTTAATAAAAAATATTTATATTCTTATTAAAATATTTAAAACTGAAGTATAAATTATAAATATTACTATTTGTATTAATTAATTACCAAAGTCAATATTAGAGTCTGCTGCACATTCTCCCACATTTTTTATTATTTTACTAATCAGTTTGGCGTCAGTTTTTTCCTCTGCAAACTAAAAAAATAAATAAAAATAAAATAACAATTCAGTATAGAATTCAATTAAAATAATAAACAAGTTTTGCGATAACATTAAGAAAGAAACCTAAAGTTACATTAAAATTAAAATTTATAATTTAAAGAAAAATACACAATTATAATTGTATTTATTATTCCATTACAGAATAATGGTAAATTGAAAGTTCTTGTTTAGCAAAATATTTAAAATATAAATAAAAATGTTGATTCTATGATATCCTATTGATTTTATTTAATTTATTTTTGTAAATAATATATTCATATTTTTAAAAATCAATCTGCTCGAAAAGTTCTGTAGTTTTAAATATGTTGAAACGTTATTTACATTTTTAATATTTTTACTATAACCTTGTTATGATTTCATATAGACAAATTATCAGATATATTTTATAAATTAATAAAACTGTAAGAGTAGTAAAACATGTAAAATGTGCTTTTGAGACAATGTGAATTTTAGTATGTAATTTTTGCATGTTCTTGTTTACTGGTACAGAACTTCTAAGGTCATTAACACCATTCTTTCCTGTTTAATTAATTTATTTATCTCTCTTTTTTATAATTTTAAAGATTTAAGGAAAAAGCTTTATATTAATATCTCAGAATTGTCAATTCAGGATTAAATTTAAAATACAGGTTTTAATCCAAAACTATTGAACTATTAGATAAAACATGGGCATTCCTGGATAATCCAACTAAGCCTAATACTTCTATTACATATTTACATTTTTGCAAGTGCTAGAAACCATTATGTATAGTTAGTTCTGGTTAAATTTTGGAAAGCAGAGAGAATGATAAAATTCTGAAAGTTAATTAGAAATAAAGGTATTTTATATAACTTTAAAAATTAATCTACAGAATGTTCTTCTAATATAATGTCTGTGAATGTGATGATAATAATAATGATATTAATTTACCAACGGAAATTCTAATTTTTAAGTCAAAAATAGAAAATTACAATAAATAATAGTAGAATTCAAAATCCTTTATTCTATTTTTATGCTCTTGGAAAAGAAAGCTAAAACTTACTCAAAATAACGTGTAGGTATATAATTTAAAAAATAATATATATATATTTAAACTTAACTATTTAATTGGGAATAAGGTCACTTAATTATTATTTAATAAACTATTGAATGTTCACTTCTTCTGTTTATTGATGTTTCGATCCCGGTATTTTCTTTTTATTAGTCAACCATGGGATCCTCTTCAAAGCTAGAATTTTAAAAATAGAGCTTCGATCAGACCAGGGACACACCGACAGTATCAGCACATACATTGAGGTACTCTTTTTTTTTTAAATTCTAGCTTTGAAGAGGATTCCATGGTAGACTAATAAAAAGAAAATACCGGGATCGGAACGTCAATAAACAGAAGAAATGAACATTCAATAGTTTATTAAATAATAATTAAGTGACCTTATTCCCAATTAAATAGTTTAAATTTAAAAGTTAATTAAAAGTTTAAATTTAATACTCAAAGGTTGATTAAGGAAAAGTTGTAAATATATATATATATATATATATATATATATATATATATATATATATATATATACATATAAGTTTTATATTAAGTTTAATTATTGTTAGTTACAAACAATAACTTAAACAAAAAAATGACCATCTATGAAGTATTTGCGATAATTTGAGAAGTATTGATAAAACATCAATTATTTATTTCAAAATACCCGCCATTTTCTTGCTCATTCAATGGTGGTAATCTCTCCCTCCCCCCCCCTACTAAAATCTTTAAACGTAACTATTAGAAAAAAAGCTTTTCTGTGCGTTATAAAAATAAATTCTTATTTCTATTCTACATAAGTATTAAAGAAAAATTAATCTTACACATGCTGGAATAACAAAAATAAATGCTAACAATTTTAACATTTCCATGATCGATTGTTTCATTAACTACAATAAACACACTCTGTCTTTAAACCAGTATTTATATGTTGCATTTTCAAGCTATCTCATTAGCCTGGAAGCAATCTCGCATTATTTCCATTCAATGAGAAAGGAAACAGATAAGAAAATTACTGTTTAATGACGGTATCCATTTCGGTTTAATGTGAAACAAACGATAAAGGTCAAATAAAATCATTATTTAAAAATGACTAATACATGTCGAAATCTTTTTCAAAAATATTATTTTAATAAATGCAATTTTTATTAAGAGGCTTATGACTGCATAAAAAAGGGTCAGCCACTCAATACTACACCCGCACTGAACAGTTTCGAAATAACCTATTTATTTCTGGTTTGTTCGGCTTTTTTATGTAAAGATTTTGATTATTATCGAATTATCGAGTTTCAAGAAAGGGTTGAAGCACAAATATGAAGCGGTTTTCAACTTTTAATTATTACAATAAAAATTGTTGGGGTAGGTGGCATTTCAATTTTTTTTCTCCATCTGGCGGGAAAGGGAGCCAGAACACAAAACTTCTAAAAGATGGTGCCCCCGTTGGAAGCTGATTTATAAAAAATAGTGGATCGTGAACAAAGGCTTGGCCAACGTCATTCCAGTTTTGTATTAAGAACGGTTGATATTATGTTTGAAAAGTTTTATTGGAAGTGATTAAAGCCATGAAACGCATCTTTCAAGTTTATTGTGATCCTATGTGATTGCCCTTGGGTATATATTTTTTTTATAACTACAGAAAAGGGTCAATATTCCTCATCGTTTTTTTACTGCCTCTGATGAAAGTTCCTGAACAGTTAAATGATGCCTTAGTGTCTCTAATGGTTTAGAAGGTTTGTTATGTTTACAGAATTTACATGTTTGTTTACAGGCTGTTTGTCAGAAATGTCTTGGAGATATTTTAGACTCAATTAAAAGAAAAAGAAAATCAAGTAAATATGGATGCTACCAAAAAGTTGGATTAAAAAGAATTTAAAGAAGGCCAGGATAAACAATTATAATGAAAATATGAGGATGTGATAACAGAAAAGGACCTGAAGTTCATTAGGAATATTCAATTTAATGTAAGTAGGATTTGATTAGTATCTAAATATATTGAGATTTCCCCCTCAAAATTTATAAGTTTTAATAAATATATTTTATTTATAATGTTATCACTGCTTCGGTTTGATCGCTCTATTATTAACTTTTCTGTTTATATTGTTGTTTTGTAGTGAATTTGTTTCTTTATTTTTTGTTAAATGTTTCTGTAACAAAATGTTTGATTCAATTTAATCGACTATATATTTTGTAACTTGAATCTTGATGATACATGTAGATTATGTAACACATTAAAAAAACATTCTTTGTACTATAATATTTTATTGATATCATTATCTTTGGTTTTTAAAACATCTCAAAGAAATAAATGATATTATGTAGTTCAACTTTTAATTTTATGATGTTAACAATCCACTTAGTTTTTTTCATGTAGCTTCAACAGTATTAGAATTTAAGAACTGTAGCATCTCTAGTTAATCAGTATATTTGATGTTTCAATTTGAACGATTTTGATAAAAAATAATAAACTTGTATTAATTGTCACAGTGTTTTCTTATTAATTTGTTTAATTTATAATTTATTTAAGAAGTTGTTTGAGAGGTGTGACTTTAGAAAATACTCAGTCAAGCCTAATTTGTTTTAAATTAAGGCTTAAACATAAATGTGTGTTCTCTTTAACCAGAACCCCTAATCAGTTTCTTAGTTTTAATGTTTCTCCAATGATGATGGTATCTGTTAAAACGATAAAATAACAAGATGAATTGATTCACACAAAATTTGAGTGAAATTTAGTATATAAGTTAGAGTTCATCTGAGAATGATTCACTGATCTTGATATTACCATCACCATTTTGTTTCAGAATGGTGGATGAAAAAATGTGTTCCTTTAGACCACATCGTAAAATTTCCAAAAAATATTTAAAAATATGAAATTTAGAAAATTATTAACATCCGAGGTTACTGCAACATATGTTCAATGTTTTGTTTTTTTCTCTTAGAGAGCTGAAGTCTCATTTATAGAACAAAATTTTTTTTTTCATCACTAACCATTGCTCACGGGCTTTGGATTGAGGGCTCAATGCGGCCTTAGTTGATTTGTCAATGGAATTCGCAGGCCATGAAGTTTGAAGACCCCTGCTTTAGACTGTAGTGTATAAATTGCTGTAACAATTTGAATGAAACTTGCGTAATGTGTTCTCCATTAATTTGTGTATGTTAATAGTTCCCCAAAACAAGCCAGAAATTTTTTTTTTTTAATAAATCAAAAAGTGTACAATTTTTTGTTGATCATGTGTATGCTTTTTTAAAGATGAGATTTCCCTAAAAAAAAAAAAATTAAGTCTGAAATTGGATTTTGGGTGCAGAGCTATAGTGTTGGAACTTCTTGCATGTGTTCTAATACTGAATTATCTGTTTTGCTTTGGTTTTTAAATAATTGAATTTTATTTATTTTTCAATTAATTATTTATCTTCAAATAATTTTTATATTTAATTTTTCCCCAAATTTGTAAGGAAAAAAATAATGTGATATGCCATATACAGTTGCAATATAACTATTTGGAAGTAATTAACCATTATGTAGTAATTTGCTGTATTTTTTTATTAGTGGTTGGATACTTAAATAAATAATTATTGAATTTTTAAAATGTTTTAGGAAAATGGAGAAAGAAGTATATTCCAAGGCAACCCAAGCCCAAGGTCCTTACGACGCCCTCGATATGTTCCAATCTTATTATTGCAATTACCCCACCAGCTACTTACAGGGATTGAAGTACCAACTAAAGGAGCAGATGGGGTTCAACACGGACCCTGGGCACCTCACCTCTCTCTATACACCACCTGTAAGGAAGACCCCTCCGAAACAGACCGGCCATGAACCTGGTCCAGCGGTAGAATGCCCGCATGGCCACGACTCTCAGAAGAATCCTATTCACATCAAAACCGACGATCCTAAAGATGGAAGCGGCATCGAATCGCCGACATTCCATTGCCTTCACACTCGTCCTTCGAGCAGTTCGACTTCTGAAGATCCTCAAAAGGGTAAAGTCGAATGTTTCTATTGTGATTACAATAACATAAATAACACAGTGTTGAAAACTCACCTTAAAAAACACAAGCCTGAACGACAGCTACCATGTGATAAGTGTGATTACTTCACTTCGTTAACGAGCAGTTTGAAATCACACATGTTGAAACATACTGATGAAAAGCCGTTAAAGTGTTCCTACTGCGACTACAGCACTAAACACAATAGCGCCCTGAAGCTCCATTTAAGTAAACATACCGGTATATACCAGTATTCTTGCCCGCAATGCGATTACAGAACCGCCAGCTCAAGCAGCCTCAAGTCGCACATGCTGAAACACAGCGATATCAAACCTCTCAAGTGCCCTTTTTGCGACTATTGTACGAAACACAAAAATGCTTTGAAACTACATCTAAGCAAACACAACGGGATTCTGCAGTACGGTTGTCCACAATGTGATTATAGGACGGCTAGCGCAAGTAGTTTAAAGTCGCACATGATGAAGCATAGTGAGGTAAAACCATTAAAGTGTTCTTTTTGTGATTATTGTACGAAACATAAATCTGCTCTTAAAAATCATTTGAAAAAACACCCACACATTCCTTTTTTGCCACACTCATTTTTAACATAATATCATTTTAAAAAAGTTTAAAGATTCTTTGTGGTATGGTCATATATTAAATTCTCAGTTGCAAGTTTGGTTAATTTTTTTTCCAAAGTGAACCCTAATGGATTATGTTTTGGCCACTTGTCAATTCCCATGTAAAAACATCCAATGAATCCAATGGTGCAGTTATTTTTTTCTCAAAAACTAACCTAAATATTTAAAAAAATTGCTATGATAATTAGTTTGTTTCCAAAACTGACCTTTTTTTTTTTCAAGGATTATAATAAAAGTTACATTTCTTAAGTATTCTTAAAATTATGATTTATCTAAAGCTTTTTGTTTCCTCACTACCGAAGGTAGGGAAGCATTGTGTTCGTGCGAGAGATTAAAAAATTTTTTTTGCTCAGAATCGAAAATTTTCACTCACGTTTTACGTTTCAGACATCAAGGATCAAATTTGGTTCGGTGCTGTCCGTCTGTCTGTCTGTAGTCAAATCGATGTGACGGGCATATCACCTAGTACCGTTCATCCTATCTTCATGAAATTTTCAGAGATTATGCTGATTGGTGCCTAGATGGTCCCATATCAATTTTATCAAATTCCATCCAGCACTTCCGCTTAAGCATGCGCAAACGTATATTTTTAGATATGCCAATATTTCAGAAAGGGCTTGTTCGATTTGGCTCAAAGTTAGATAAAAGGTAGACTTTGGTGAAAAAATAACGTAGTGTCAATTTTATTGAATTCTGTGTATGTGTATTAATGGTGACATTTTGTAGTCTGCATCTGATATAAGTAGTCTGCTACGAAGGAAAATAGCATATGACAATAAAATATGAAATTATTCTAATAGAGCATAAAGAAATGGTGAGTTTTTATGAATTGTTGTAAAACAATAAATAAATTTGTACGGAAGACCTTTTGCACTAACAGTATTAAAATTCATGTTCAGTATGCATTTTTTTTTTGTTTTTTTTATTAAGCATAATCAAGTATGGACTTTTGTTGAATGTTGAAGGGTAACTGTAATCGGCTATTCCGATTCTGCTTCTCTCAGAGATTTTATTCTCATACGAAAAATTGTATACCTTGTAATATACAACGAGAACGGTGATGAAGCTATACTGACCTTACTTGGCAGACGTTTTAGCTTGTTTTATTTTATTCAAATGAAAATTAATAATTGTAATTTTATTGTAAACAAAAAGTTAATTTTTATATTATTAATGGAAAAAACGAACTACTAAGCCATGAGTCTCCAAACTTAAAGGCGAAAAGTTAACTAGCTCAAATTTTGGCATTTTAGGCATCATCAAGATAGACAAATTGGCCTGGATTGGATGCTTGAATTGGCGAAACGTTGTGCCAATGTTAACTTTTCACCTTTAAGTTTGGAGACTCGTGGCCTGGTAGTTTCGATTTTTCCATTAATAACATCATTATCTTATGTCTTTTCTTGCTTTATGCTTATTTTACTTAATTTTTATAACTTTTTTTCTCCTTGAATCATCACCATTTTTTCTCTACAAACCGAACCCCAACCATCCTTTATTTTTTATTTTGTTTAATTTATTTTTTATTACTATTGCTATTGGAATAGAAAATATAGTTTTTGCGTTTTCTGAAAAATTGTCATTGATAATTAGGGTTCACTTTGGAAATAAAATCTCATTTTCTCTTTATTATTTTGGTAATTTGGTCTTGAAGTTTGTGATCTTAGTATAATATGTTTACTGCATTAAAAATTAATTGTTTATATATTTAAATGAACAAACCAAATCATTTCAAATCAGTCAAAGAGTGATAAAAATGGTGAATCATTATTATATAGAAAGAAAATATTAAAATCTGAGTATATTTGAGTGAGTAGAGTTCTAATATTGTTAACATATTATTTTATTTATTTATTTTTGGTTTAATTCTCCCATTTTAGAAGAAATAGGAACTGGAATGGCGATAACGTCTACAATTTTTAAATATATTGCGAATATTTTGTAAAATATCATCTTATATTTTGTTGAATAACTATTTGAGTATAAAGATATTAGGTCAGAGCTTTTTTTAAAAAATTATGAATCTTTTGAGAAGACTATTTTATTTCAAAATTGATTTATTTCATTATTTCTTCAGATAATTTTTGCATTATAAGAATCTTATAATTCTGCTACTTTCATATTTAAGTACAACTACAAAAAAAACAAGGATTTTTTGAAACCTACGTTTATGTATCTTATGGTCTTTTATTGAGTTATCAAAAGATTCCTCATTTATAGTTTTTACATAACGTACAGCTCTTAGATAGTAATTAAATTTATTTTTTAAAATAATGTGGTTACTCATTCCGATTAACCCATTATGATGTTTCATTTCAGGTAATTAGATATAAGGGATATTAATCTTAAATTATCTATGTTTTTTTTTGCTTTTGATTAACAATAGTATTTATGCTTGGATGAATTGTTTTTATTGTTTCAATCTATAAAGGATTAGTTGACTGAGTTTTAGATTGGTTTAGTCTGTGATATTTTTTTTTTCATTGTTTCTTTTAACCAAAAAAAATTAACTATAGAGCTATAAACATGAGGACTTATAGAATTATCTATTAATTTATAAGAATTATCTCAGGCAGATGTTAATAATTTGATAAAACAGGGTGTATACCACAGACTATATACTGAGTATCATAATAGTTATTTCAATTAGTTTTTATTATTTTTTTTTAAAGTTAATTATAATTAAAAAACTGACATTTCATATTATCAAAAGACAAGATGGTAATTTAAATATAATCACATATTATTTATAATAACTTCACCGTTGATTTAATTCTGAATATGGTGGTTGGCGGTGTGGTAAGTATCAAGACAGCAATGAATTCTTACTATATATGTGTGTCGACATTTCGCTCTACATTATCGGCCTCCTTCACTGATAATTCGTATAGATACATTAATGTGGTATGATCACTACAACTTAGTAACTAAGAACTTTGCAAAGCATAGATATATCCTAGTGAGTACTCCCACATTAGATAGTTCTGTCTCCTTTACTAATGCATTCGGTGTATAAGCAACATAGCGGAACATAGTTAGTCGTATATACAATATTGTCAAGATAGTCTATTGAACACATAAAATAAAAATTTATACACGTAAAATAAAAACACTTATACACATACACATATAATAACACTTATACACATAAAATAAAAATTTACTCATTAAGTGATTAGCTTGTCCCTTAGGAAAATATCCTTCCAGCTTAATATTGGGTTGGCAAATAAGTCCTTATTTTTCAGGGTGAAATAAAACTCAATGTATTATAGACATCAAATTTGTTTTAATCTACAATATATTGACCATTATTTAACATGACTTTTCCCCATCTTTCCACTAACTGCATAATGCTATGTTCATAGGATGTCTGGAGTTTATTGTTAAAAAAACTGATACAAATGGTTTTTTATGTCCTCTTGTTTTTGGAAAGTATTTCCATTCATGGAGTTCTGCATGGACTGGAATAAGGGGTAGTCACTTGGAGCTAGGTCTGGTGAATAGGGAGGGAGCAAAAGGTCCTATCCAAGGCTCAATAATTTATTGTAAGTGACCAATGAGGTGTGGGGCCTAGCGTTGTCTTGGTGGAACACAACACCCTTCCAATTTGCCAGTTCTGAGCATTTATTTTTAATTGATTGATCCAATTTTGTTATTTGTGAGCAGTATAGAGTTGAATCAGTTGTTTGTCCTGATGGCAATAGCTCATAGAAAATAACACCCTTAAAATCTCACCCTATTGAAAGCATTATCTTCTTTGGATGCAATCCGGGTTTTGACATTCTAGGAGATTTTCTACGGTTTACATTATTGTAAAATATCAATTTTTCATCTGTTATCAACCTTTTCAAAAATGGGTGGTTTTTTGGCCGTTTCCGTAGTGAATCACAAACAGAAATGTGTGTTGCCAAGTTGACTTCGGTTAGAGAGTGAGGGACCCAAACATAAAGCCTGGAAACATAGAGCTTGTGCAAATAGATTTCTACGGTTGTGTGCAACACATTTAGGGCCATAGCAATCCCTGATAATGATTGGGTGGGATTTTGAACAACAATGGCCTTAACATTGCTCGTTTTAATTTCATGTGGTTGACCAGACCGTTGAGCATCATTGATGTTAAATGTGAAATTTTTCCATGAGCTTCTGCAGCACACTTACTTTTTTAAAAATAATACAAGATATGCCTATAATGAATATTTTCTTACATATTCGCAGTGCAATAACAAACACAATACTAAGCTAGTTTCAACAAGAGTTAACAGATATAGTTGTGGACATATTACAAACAGGATAAACAATCCACTTTAGGGATTGATTCATCAGATAAGAAGTGTATCATAGTGACGGGATTTTTTTTCCGGACCTGGGGCGAGGGCGGGGAAATTATGCCAGAGTTAAAAGTTCTGCCACCAAGATTTAAACTTGTAATCTTTAGTGTATTAGGTTACCCGGGCAATATTTTACACAAAATGTTAGACCACTTGTTCACTCTGTCTATAACTGCAATGGTTCATGATGACCATGTTGAAATATTTAAAACATGATTTATCTCTTCTTATTCATTGACTTTGAAACTATCCAAGTTTTGAAATCTCCGAATTTTTTCAATAACTTTTATTAAAGTTGTTTGAGGAATTTAAGGATCGAAATTGAGTTTCGTCACTTTTCCACGAAATTCCTTTCCGTTCAATACATCATTCAACAAAATCCATCGCTTATGAGAGCTGGAAAAAGAATCTATACTTGTGTAGATGATGTAAGAGGGGTGTTTAATAGCTCATTTTAAAGCTTTTTCATGGCTTTTGATATAAAACATGACAACCTTAAAACAAGAATTTTTTTTCATTGTTTTAAAAATTTTGAAATATCAACTTGTTTAGAAATAATTGGAATAAAGTTCATTTTTCAATTATTCTACTTTTTAGCAAAGTAATGTGCTAAATATTATTCAACAAATGTTTCATCCAATAACACTAAATGAATATAAAAACATAAAATAAACATCAGGCTACTGTTTCATTTTATTTATTCACGATCTCTCAGTCTACATAATTAAATTTGGCATAAGCCTAATAAATTTATGTCAGAATAACATATTTTTAAAAAAAAAAAATCTAATATTACCTGTTTTGAGATTTTAAAAACCAGTGAAAATTTTGTCTTGTTACATATTAAATAATGACCGTATAATTAGCTTTAAAATGGGCTGTCATATATTTCGCTAGCACCATCAATTATAAATTACAAGCATTTTTGAAATATTTAAATGAAAACTAAACAGAAAATAATTCTTGAAAAAAGCAAAATAAAATAGAAATAATGGAGAGAAGGATAGTTAAGGTGATCAGTCAAAATAAAAATGGCAAAAATGAATAATATATTTATTTTAACATTTGCCGACGTTTCGACACGAAGTTCAGGCCTTCATCAGGGCTGAGAAAAGAACCATATAACAATTGGTATAAGAAACATAAACAATGTAGGTAAAAAAAAAGTTAAAGTAAAATGAAGTAGATAAGTGAACATTAAAGTAAAATAAAGTTATTCCACACTTTGTAACCGTTATTATTATTTCTTTCTTAGTTCTTGTTATTATCATTATTCTACCTACTTTATTTTACTTTAATGTTCACTTATCTACTTCATTTTACTTTATCTTTTTTTTTTGTATCTCCATTGCTTATGTTTCTCATACCAATTGTTATCTGTTTTTTTTCTCAGCCCTGATGAAGGTATGAACTTAAGGTCGAAACGTCGGCAAATGTTAAAATAAATATTATTATTTATTTTTGCCATTTTTATTTTGACTGATCACCCCAACTATCATTCTCTTCATTATTCACTACAGTCAACCATCAACCCACAATTATTAAAATATAAATAGGGAGATATTTCAGTTAAGAGATATAAAGAGTGTCTTAAGTTCTTATAGCCAAACTCCAGGGAACGATTGTAGACAAAATTTCCAACAAAAAAGTTTATTTGATGTATGCACCGATTTCGAATAGAAAAGGAGTTACGACCAATTTTTTTTTTAGGGTGGTCACAGTTTTTATTGAATAAGAAGGAATTGCTCAAAATCTGTTCTAAGTAATTAAAATTTTATTTCACCATCTTAAAGTAGACAAGTTTTTTTTTTTTTATTTATAAAACAGTAATTAAATATACTAAGGTTAATGATAAAAGGAACTTTCAGAAGGTCTAATATGGCCGCACGAACAGAATATCTCTGTATTCCTGATTCGTGAAACAATTCTTCATAACGTTATTAGACCGGATGATAGTCCCTTTTATCATTCACTTTAATAAATTGAATCAATGTTTTTGTGAAGAACATGTCTACTTTATGAGGGTGTACTTAGAATTTAATTATCTTATATAGTTTTTGAGCAATATATTCTTATTCAATAAAACATGACCACTTTAAGAAAAACACAAAATTGGTCTTAACTAGTTTTCCGTTCGGAATTGGCCCATGCATCAAATGAACGTTTTTGCTGGAAACGTTGTCTAGAATCATCCCCTCCCCCCCCAGATTTTGGCTATTAAGGACTGAGACGTGAAGCATATGATAAAATTAAAATAAAGCAAAAAAATATAAAATCAAAAATAAAAAAATTATGCCTAAGTAAATTCATATTAAATGTAATAGTAATTAGTGGATGAGTTGTTGAATATCTATATGAGAGCTAAAAAGAAAATTAGTCTTGAAAAAAGAAAAATAAATAGGAAAAAAGAGATATTGCAGTTAAGAGATATATATTTTTTAAATATATAATCGTATTTTTTACCTTGACCGTGAAGAAGACCCAACTGTTGACACACATAAACAGTAAAAATTTCATTATTGTTCGTTTTATTTATCATCGCACCCTCAACCATCTTCTAGATATTATTTATAATAAATTTCATGTTGCTAAAGTAATTTAAAGAAATTAATTATATTTGTGATGTTGTTCTAGATATATATCTACAATACTTTGGTACCGAAGAATGTAGAACAACAATTATTAGAAGATAATAAGAATACGTAATAAAATTGAAAGAAAAAAAAAAAAAAATTAAAAGTACGTTTAAACTGAGGAGAAATCTCTCTTGGTAGATATTTACTGAATTAACTTGTGAACAGTTACGGTAAGCTATAAGGTCCTCTTTTAAAAATCCCTTTTAAACTTAGTACTTATATATATTGTATTATATATGTTTATATATATATGTCCTCATGTTTAGAGCTGATTGTATGAATTTGCATGTTAATTGTAAAAAAGGATTAGAGAATAATGTAGAATTAATTTGAAGAAATTTTAAAAGCGTTAGTTTAAGGCAGTGTGGATTTATATATATAAGAAAAATTGAATACACAGTAGGTTGTGAATAATTGACAACTATGGGAACCTTCACTGTATTTTTTAAATTGTGAATTCCTAAATAGAAAACAAAAACCTGTATAACATGTCATGGGCACAAACTTCTCTTAAAAATTTGTTCCATCTTACGATAGTTGCGTTGGATTGTTTGAGCTGCTCTTTCCCCCACTGTATTGTTGTTAAATTATGGGACCACCCATAAATGAATTTTAAAGCCATTAAAAAAGAAATCCTCGACCCCTCTAACCACGTTCCTTTCCTTATAGAAACGGTTTTGTTACAACTAGCATCGATATTTCACCTTTGCAAATATTCCGGCTTCTTTAAAATATTTTATAGCTTCTTGTTCTGAAGACGGCAATTCCCACAATGTGACAACATCCATAATTAAATAACACTAACTCACAGCTAACACAAGAAACAAAAAATAAACAAGGGAATAACTTAGGTTGGATGAGATGAGGGAGGTTATGTGAAACGAGATTAGCTAAGAAGGGAGGTTTTGACGCTACCCACTATTAAATAAGTACCCAAAATTTATTCCCTCTCGATCTGTCTACTTTTGAAATTGTGTGAGTTTTAAGACCTCTCAATTTTTTCAATGGCTCTTTTTTTTTTTTTTTTGGCATTATGATTACAGACCAAATCCTATTCTGAATGGCTCTTATCAAAGTTTTTGGAATTTTAGGATCAAAATTAGAATAAGTCACTTCTCAATGAAATTCCCTTTCTTTCGGTACCTCATTCATCAAAATCCGGGTGCGATGGATTTTGATGAATGATGTATCAAAGGATGAATGAGAGCCGGAAAAAGGATTTACTGCCATATCATTTATAGTGGTAGATTTGTTGATTATTAAGAACCTACTGTGTATTGTTTGAAATGGAATTAAAACTAATCTAAGGTAGTTTTCATCGTTACGAAAACTAAGACAGGGTAAAAAAAAAAAGTTAGCTAAAGCAATATATTAATTTGGCATATTAATACGTTAGCTGTGGTTACAGTCCTCAGGGTCTGATATTCTTGTCGACTACCAAACGGCCAGGATTGTTTCGAATTTTGCCTATCTTACGAAGTCTCCTTGATACGATCGCCTAAAAATGGTAAAAATATGGTTTTTAAAAATATTTGAATGGGAGTTGGATAGATGTAAAGATGCGAGCGTAATTAATCATTATATCTAATTCAAAAGTTTCCGTACGCCGGAAACCGATACCTTGTCAGACTGATAAAAAATGATTTCCCTACGGTATCACCGACCGTCATCTGATTTATATTTCTGCCATTGGAGGACAGTGCACATGCATGACCTTGTCTTCTTTAGGCCATGCAGTAGGTTTTTAGAATTCATATTAGACTGTTCCAATTGCTTATTTAACATGTATAAATTATATCTTTAAAATTATAATTATATGGAATAAATAAACTTTTCTCATTTAATTTTCAATATTTAAGATTTATATTCCTAAAAATAACACTTGTTTACTGAAATACAGAGAAATAATAAAAAACTCGTCATATAAACGGCATCGAACGTCGGAGTCCACGCCTACAATTGCTGGCCATTAATGAGGACACAGTTAACAGATAGAGACTCTGAATAGGGAATTCAGTTAACCTTTATTGTCAAAAAATAGCGTTATACCTCGAAATTGATGCATATCTCCGGCGTCTAGCTAGGAACTTCATAACTAGTGTCCCTTACCGAGGACCTATATCCTTGGGAAAGATATTTAAGAGATATGCTCAGCAGCTAACGTGTTAATGTCCGATGAGCTAAAGATATATTAAAATGCATTAATGCATTTCTTTAAAAACAAGAAATACTTTTTTTTGTACTGGCTTTACTTATATATATCATCACTATTCAATATACTATATACTACGAAAAATACTTCAAATTTTATGTTTTTTAACAAATTGTATGGTAAACACTTTTATTTTGTTAGTTTAGATTTTTATTATTTAATTTTAAAATTTTATAATATTAAGAGAGTATTATATTCGACTTGGATAAAAGAACAAAAGAGGGGGAATGTATGAACCATGACCATAATTGATTGATAAATATCTCATATAAATTAATTTTTTAGATTATTCAGAAAATTTAAGATACAGCAGAGTCCTCTATAAAATTAATGAATATTTTGTTTTCCTTAGAGCTTGGAACTAAATATTTCCCTGGCATATTAAATAAACATATATTGTTCCTGAAATGCGTAGTACCTAAATGTTGGCTAATAGATCTGCTATGTAAAAGCTACTTCAACAGTTACGTTTCGATTATTACTAATTTGAAATCGATTCTATCCAATTTTTTTATGTGTCACAATTTACTTTCGGACACAATCAGCTATTATTAGAATTCCATCTACTGTGTGATCATGTGATGTTATGCCCAGCTGTCTGTGGTCGCCTGGGTTCTTTTTGTGTACCTAAAGCGGACCTTACACGATCATTCGTGAATGAAAGTCACAAGAATGACAAAGATTGCTCGGGATCGCTTTGATCATGATGACCCCTACACTTTCAATCATTCTTGACCGTTTTAGCTCAGTTGACTGTTGAGATAACAGGCAGCATGGATCTGGCGGATTGTGCACTTATAATAATGTGTTTAATTTAAAGAGCTTATTTGGACATTGTCTCTTATAGTATTGGACAAGAGAAAAATGGAGATATAATAATTACTTCCTAGTGCCTGAAAATCGTTTAGACCAAAGTTAGAAAAATATAAGTCAACTACTTACAAAAATTTAGGATAAATATTGCAAAAATAATCAATTTAGTAAGGATAATGGAAAAATTAATGACTAATTAACACAACAGTTGAAGATTTTTTATTTCATACTTATTTTTTGTATTTGTATCTTCTATATATATAATACTTGATATTTTAACTACACTGTCACCCACTATATCTCTGATTTCTTCTTATTATTTCTTTATCAGACGACTGTTTCGTATTTAATATGTGCCTATAATTCATTTATTTTATTTTCACCCCATATCTTTTATAGCCCTGATGATGACCTCCAAAGTGGGTTGAAATGTCAGCGTAAAAATTAAAAATACTATTTTCTAAAAATTTAGTATTTATTTGAATCATAATTTATTATAATTTTTCATTATAGAGGGTCCTGCTGTTTTCTATTTTTTTTTTTCAATATAGTTTTAGTGCGTAGATCTCTGTACTTTATTTCTAATTATAAGTAAACATAATTATTATTTATACTGTTAAGTAATTTAATATATTAATTCACCATTATAATGTATATAATTATATGTATATAATGAGTTCATCAAAAGCATAAAAAAATGTTACATACAAATATTTTCAAACTAATTTCTTCGAACTAGAAAAACAGAAATATTTAACTGATCATTATTTTTGTGAACGAAATTCATGACTTTAAAAATTTAAAATATTCAGTTTTATGTTTATTAGTTATATGGTAGTAGATTACAAGGTCAAGACATGTTATGTAATTTGCAGCCATGATTATCTTATAACTAACATTATTCAAATTTCTGTCTTATTACTTTTTCGGAAATGCAAGTCATGGGAGAAAGAATTATTTAAAATTATTAATCAGAAGTTTAAAATCGATTGAAATTTGTTTTTAAAAAAATTGTATAATTTTTATAAAATCTTGGCTGTCATATTTGAACTCTCAAAAATTGCCTAAATTTGAGCTGTGATGAAATTCAAATAATAAAGAATGCACATTAGACGAAATGGTATTTGTCAGATAATAATAAAAAATTATATAGCTAACAACGTCATACAACACTGCATCTGGGATCTGTAGTAGGGTTACCTAACATGATGTTATCAAATCTCTCTCAACTCTACTTTATAAACATTTATTTATAAAAGCTAATAAAATACATTTTAAACTAAATATTTTTATGTATAATAGGCAGACTGTATATATTATAATTGAGATATAGAAGAATACCCTTTTAACTCAGTCTCATTTTAGTTTTTTGTTACATGGAGCTTTCGGTGTATTGTACTATATTCATCTAAAATATTAACATACATCATAAGGTACTATGATGTCCCACGGCAGCGACTGCTATTTCACGCTGCTAGTGTTGCGTAGCTATTTCGCTGAAATTGCTCACTGGGGTTGTTATAACCTGCCTATAACCTTCGAACATTTCATTCTATCTTCGAAGATAATAAAATGGAATTACTATCTCTTATCACCGCTTTTTCATTTTTTTATATTTTAATTCTTTTATTTATTTAATATTGTTTGGATTTAGGTATATTTGAATTTCACTGTAAAATGCTCTTGGTGGAATAACAAAATAAATAATCTTGTTACATCAACCTTAAAAAAATAATTTACTATTGCGTAGCTTAATTTTTATACAATATTTCTTATAATTTTGCCAGACTTGAAACAAACATGAAATAAAACATAGCAACGTGTCTGTTATCATCGAAACAATGCTCTGATATGATAACATAACCTAGAACCGCCAACAGCTCCACTGCTTCAGGAGCGGTCAGATAGGAGCAGCTTAGATATGACGCCATATCTAGACTGCCGAGCAGCGCCAGCGAAATAGGCTCCTTTCTATTTAACTAAAGCAGTAGTCAACAGCAAGCGTTCACTGCAATTGTTTTTAGTTGTAATCAGCTCTATTGTTAATCCATTGGAAATGATTGTATATTGATCGTAAGTAAATGTGATTATTGTATCAGATTCTTTGAGTGCCCTTGAAGCCATGAACAACATGTGTCTTGACCATCTAGGAATATATAGTATTTTAGAGCTCATAAAACAGCTAAATAACATTATAACATCAATATTTTTTCTATGGTCTCCCGATCATGTTGGCATTATTGGGAATGAATTTGATGATGGAGCAGCTATATCATCTATGATTTTTCTAATTCTACTTATGCTCGCACTGTTTTAAGTAGAGAAGTAATAAATTTCTGGGGAGAGAGGGGTGATTCATGTCATCGACCTTATGGGGATGAGCAAATAGTAATATTACATGTAATTATCATTTCCAATTGATTAACAATAGACCTGATTATTGTCACTAAAAACTATTTATGTACCCTAATTTTTATTTTTATTTTGCAATTTAATAATCAATCAACTTAGTTGATAATCAATCAACGATTGGAAAGACAAAATAATTTTTGACAGAACCACGTCATCAAAGTGGATGGATTTAGATTACAAATAGTTATGCAGAATTTGCAGAATCGTTGTGACAATTAGGAATTGTAATCTATGATTTATTATTGGAGGTATATGGTCTAGATAAATATGATGCAATGAACCGAAAGCTCCACGTAACAAAAGTAAATAAAAGGAAAAAAGGGTATTCTTCTATATTTCAAGAATAATATACACAGTCTACCTACTATGCTTAAATATAATTTTTACTTTTATAAAAAATATTCCTTCCTTGGTTAGGGAAACAATCATTTTTAATCCCCACATTTATTATTACAGTAAGGCTCAAAATTGGTGTTGTACCAAATACAAGTTCCTGTCATGCTCAAATACCATGAATGGGGTACCGTTGAATTCAGAATTTCACGGGGGGTTAGTGCATTGTACTCTCCGCTTTTGTTTTTC